TAACGAATTACTCGCCCAAACAGTGCGGAAATACGCAGTTTTACATGACGAAACATTAAGGGAAATCAAGGACTATAAAATGAAGAATAATGCTTGGAAAAAAGCTGAAAACCCATCTTGAAGGATAGGACAGACCTATTGTTTTCTTGTCGACGATTGCTTGTTTTAAAGTCTTCGTTGATGTCGTCTTCTCAATAAAATAAACAAAATAAACGAAAACGCGAAAATAAGTCTCCTCAGTCACTTTTGTTTGGCTCACGGTAGTGTCGTTATGTCGATGTTCACATTAGCGACATAAGCTTCTTATGTTATTATGTCGTTATGTCATTATGTCGCAAGTGTGAACCAGGCTTAATAGAGCCTAAATACAGGGATTTGAGTTCCAACTGTCATGGCTAAGACTTTATTAAATTCAACTCTCTCTCACCATATTATATGTAAGTAAAAGGGAAAATAAAGAGAGAATATAATGCAAACAAATGCCGGAGAAAAGTAATGACATTCGTTTGGGTCATTCTTTATAAAGGCTTCATGTTTAAAACTTTGCGCCCAAACTTGGTTTGTCCCAGGCTAGCTCGCCTCATCTAATACCAGGCTGAAATTCACCTCCACACACAGATTGATTATATTTTGACACGTTATTACAGGTGGAAAGCAACGATGATTGGTCAAAGAAGGAAAGTCATTACAAAAGAATTCATCTCTCCCCTCCCCTGCAAATGCCAATGCAAGGATCGAAATTTATCAGCGATTTATTTGAATACTATAACAAACAAAATGTTTTTATTCTCATAGAGGATATTTGCCAAACACAAAACTCTAAATTCTTGATGTCGAATTTTCCATGGCAGGTCATGATCGCGCAAAATTTACAAGAATACACACAATCGCTAAATGGCATTTATCGATTGTGCAGCATGCTCCCTGCAACTCGAAAGCTATTTCAAACCACAATATTTGATTTTTCCTACCCTATTTCAGACCCGACCCAAAACTCGATGGTCTGTTGCAGTGCACATACTCGTGTTCCTAGCTACCAAGTAGCTGTTTTGACTTGCGTCTACATTTGCGAAGAGCTTAAAATCAGAAGCATATAACTCTTGATTATTTTATGTAAAATTGATGTAAAACGGATCAGCGCAAATATTGAGTTATGTAAGATTCCGAGATAAGCTATTTTGACAGGGATGCCTTTATCATTTTCTGATATTTGAGCAAGAAAATTTCCTTACTTCTGATTGGACGGCTAAAACAAACCTCAGCATGGTTCTCAACAAATAAGCGGAATTTGGAAGCTTCAGGGTTATATGCTTCTGTCGAAATTAACGGAAGCGTGCTTCTCGATTGTTGAATAAAAGTAAAAGCGTATTTCTCACAGAGGTTATTCCCTAAACACCACACTTTAAATATACCGGTATACAATTTTTTTTGCCAATTCTTTTTTGACAAAAAACGCGGAAACTATGTTCATCATACGCCGTCCAACAAACAAAACAATCAGAGACACCAACGAAAGGGAAAATATGGCATCCAGTCCTTCTGTTCTGAAAACTGCCTAAATGGTCACGAAACTACAAAACGTTCAGACTGGCCCTAAGAACTCTGCAAATCCGTACATATTCATTGTTTACAGGCACGTTATTACGGATGCAAAGCACCGATAATTGCTCTATCATTGTCAGCATCAGCAACAAAAACAAAAGACTATAGAGATATCTACAATAGGATTGTGTCACTTATAGAGCCTAAATACACGGGGTTGGGTCCCATGTTAAAACCTTTTCGTCAAAACTTGGTTGTCCCAGGCTAGCTTGCCTCATGTAATACCAGGCTGAAATTCATCTTCATAAAACACCGAGCCAACTTGGAAAAGAGGGCCAACCCGACTGTCAATGCCCAATTAATTAATTGCTTATAAGAAATGTTCATCGTAGGGTCGGATATCAATCAAATGACCATCCACAATATGTCACTTCTAAAGCGATGTAGACAAACCTCAAACTTAAAATGTACAAAACTAATCAAACTGAAATATTCAGTACGAAAGGGAATCCGAGTTATCACTGATTTAATTGCTTATAGTCTGCTATCGTTTGATCCAAGATTTCAACATCTTTGACGAGTTGTTATAAGTACGACAATGATACACCCCCAAAAGTATAAGAAGTAAGACAAAATAAAACACTCACCGGGTGCAGCTGCACCTGCAGGTATTTCACCCTTTACATCCTTATCCTGCGTATCCTCTCCTTCAGAGGAAGGTGTTAGAGAAGCAACATCTTGTGTTCCTGGACCTAGAATTTTCAAAGAAACATGAACACATTTATCTAGACTGTCCCTCTTGTGACACCTTTTCAACAAAAGACGCAATGAAATACACCTCATAAATGGGAAAATTTGGCATCAATAAGTCATTCTTTTCTGCCAAGGGTCTGAATAGTGGCGAAAGCGTAGAAAATTTCAAACAGGGCTTGAGCAATTTCGCAAATCCGTACAGATTGTTTACTGCAATGCTATTACAGATATAAAGCACCGATAATTGGTCAAAGAAGAAAAATGAATTACGAAAGAATTCATCTCCCCCCACCCCTCCCACCACCCCTTTCAATACCAATGTAAGGTTTGAAATTTATCTGTAATATATTTGAATTCTAAGAAATTTACAAAATGGTTTTAATTTCATATAGGTTATTGGCCAAACACAAAACTTTAGGTTCTTGATGTCGAATTTTTCATGGCAGGTCACGATCGCGCAAAATTTACGAGATTGCCATTTACCGATTGTGCAGCATGCTTCTTGCAACTTGAAAGCTATTTCAAACCACAATATTTGATTTTTCCTACCCTATTTCAGACCCGACCCAAAACTCGATGCTCTGTTGCACCGTACATACTCGTGTTTCTAGCTACCCAGTAGCTGTTTTGACTTACGTGTACATTTGCGAAGAGCTTAAAATCAGAAGCATATAACTCTTGATTATTTTATATAAAATTGATGTAAAACGTTTCACTGCTCAATATTAAGGTATGGAATTACTTGGAGAAGTGTTAAGGATTGGAAAATTCCGAGATTAGCTATTTCATAGACAAAGAAGCCTTCAATTCTCTGATTCCACATTAGAGCAAGAAAATTTTCTTGCTTCTGATTGGACGGCTAAAAAAACCTAAGCATGGTTCTAAGCAAATAAGCGGAATTTACGCGCTTAAGGGTAACTATATACTTCTGTTGAAATTAATCAAAGCGTGCTTCTTGAGTGCTGTATAAAAGTAAATTATTTCGCACTTCGGTTTTTCCCTAAACACCCCACTTTAAATCAAGATACCGGTATACAAAATCCTTTTTTGACAAAAAACGCGGAAAACATGTTCATCATACGCCGTCCATCAAACAAAACAATCAGAGACACCAACGAAAGGGAAAATATGGCATCCAGTCCTTCTGTTCTGAAAACTGTCTGAATGGTGAAGAAACTACAAAACGTTCAGACTGGCCCTAAGAATTCTGCAAATCCGCACAGATTCATTGTTTACAGACACGTTATTATGGATGCAAAGCACCAATGATTGTTCAAAGAAGAAAAACAAACAAGACGGAGTTCACCTCAAGGTTACACTGAAGTTATTGAGTAAAACCAATGATACAATTGTACTGAGTAAAAAGCCGGGTTAACATGGCTATCTGGCAATCATTTCTAAATCAATAAAGCAGTGGCTAGGCGTATTTGTGTAAGAATAAATAACTTTATAAATGCACTCAAAAGGGAAGGGGAGGAGCTTATAAAATCGATAGTCTTTCATTGCCAGCATCTTCAACAAAAACAAAAACAAAAGACTATAGAGGTATCTAGGATTATGTCACTTATAGAGCCTAAATCCAGGGCCTTGGGTCCCATGTTAAAACCTTTGGCTTGTCCCAGGCTAGCTCGCCTCATCTAATATCGGGCTGAAATTCACCTCCATAAAACACCAAGCCAACTTGGCAAAGCAGGCCCACCCGGCTTTCAATGCCCAATTAATTAATTGCCTAAAACCAAAGAAACGTTCATCATAGGGCCGGATATCAATCAAATGATTATTCACAATATGTCACTTCTAGAACGATGACGAAAACATCTCAAACTTAAAATGTACAAAACTAATCAGAGTGAAATATTCAGTACGAAAAGGAATCAGAGTTACTTTTGATCACTGATATAATTGCTTATAGTGTGCTATCATTTGATCCATGATTTAAACATCTTGGACGAGTTGTTATAAGTACGACGAAGAAATACGACAAAATAAAACACCCACCGGGTGCAGCTGTACCTGCAGGTATTTTACCCTTCACATCCTTATCCTTCGTATCCTCGTCTTCCGGGGAAGGTGTTAGAGAAGCAACATCTTGTATTCCTGGATCTAGAATTTTCAAAGAAACATGAACAGATTTAATATCTAGGCTGTCCTCTTGACTGTCCCTCCCACATGTTTATCAAACGCCTTCCAACAAACAAAACAATGAAAGCCACCTAATAAATGGGAAAATAATCAGAGTGGAATATTCAGTACGAAAGGGAATCCGAGTTACTTTTGATCACTGATTTAATTGCTTATAGTCTGCTATCGTTTGATCCCTGATTTAAACATCTTGGACAAGTTATTCTAAATCTTTGTTAGTGGTGACGTAGTTTATGCTCAAACTTGGGAGGCATTGACCCTCAAAAACCCTACCGAGCCACCTTAACTCGGCTGATAACATCCTCCTCGATCTGCATAAATCTTCAGGTCATACTCAGCCTCATTCCATAATTGCCAAATTAAAATATCATTAAAAACCTGATAGTAGAAATTAAAGGCAAAAAATTGATAAAGTGGGGTCCACTTGCGATTCAATTTTACATACTTCCCTGAACTTTCCTCAAAGATGGCTGCAGGTTTTCTCAAAGTTTCCTAGCGGTCCGGTTTAAACCGAAAAAGTTATCAGACAATGTTTGTCGTAGGTCACTGCGTCCCCAATAATAACGGAAGCACCTTAACTTCATTGCTTCAAACAAGATAGAGCGGGGTCGGGGTGGGGTATTCATCAGTCGTCGAATATCGATCTATTGATTGTTTACAAACGTTAATGACATTTTTCACATCAATAATTTCAAAGTGGTATCGTTGTTAAAGACCGTTAAACGATGCTAGTTTCCAAACCTAAATCGACAAAATGAGAGAGGTACATTCTATACGTGAGGAAAATATCAGTTAATTGTTGTCATTCAATTGCTTATGGTCTCGTTTGGTCCCATGATAAGTTTTAGAGGAGTATTTATGGGTATAATGACAATGATAAATCAGTTAGTTGTTGTTGTTGTTATACGCATTCCCCTGAATAAAATAGGACGAAATTATACACTTACTATCCGCAAACCGCAGGTGCAGGTATTTCACACTCCACATCTTTACGCATTGCCTGCTCTCCTTCAAACGAAGCCGTTGTAAAGGCTACCTCCGGTTTTCTCGGATCTAGAATATCCGAAGAAGAGGATGTCAACGGCAAAAATAGAAATTTAAAATGACGATATCATCGTCGCAATGGTAATGGCAATTTAAGTTCTGAATTGTAAATTCACCCGAAAAAAAAAAGAATTTCGGGACTTCAACGGAATTCGAACCGATGGCCTCTACGTTAGCGCTGCGGTGGTCTACCACCTGAGCTATGAAGACCCATACATTGGGACACAATTAGCCACGAGTAAAAACAAAAGGTTAGGATTGAAGTGCGGGTAGGATCAAGGCAAACACTCTCGTTCCAACGCTGTACTTTACGTAAGTTTCACGTGATAGAAGGTCAAAACGCGCGTGATTAACTTACAAGAGAAAGAAGGTCCAAACGTGCGTGATCAGATTGCGTTCTATGCACACCATTCATTCTTAGTGGAAGTACACACTAATGCTGGCTACAATCTCGACCCAAGAGCTCTTCTGCACATGACGATCATGGAGGGAAGCACTGGGTTCGAGAATGATGCTGGCTACATACTTGCCGCGCATGTGCAATAGCAACCTCGAGATTAGGATTCCGGGCTGCACTGCACTGCTCCGCACTATCAACTTTTGACAGGGAAAAACGCGGAAACATGTACAGTATATCAAACACCTTCTGACAAACAAAATAATCAAAGACACCCAATTAAAGGGAAATATGGCATCCAGTCGTTCTGTAAACTGTCTAAATGGGGAAGGAACTGCAAAACGTTCAGACTGGGCCTGACGAACTCTGAAAATCCGTACAGCCTGTTTACTGATACGTTATTATAGGTAGAAAGCACCGATAAATGGTTATAGAAGAACATGAATTTGACAACATTCACTCCTTCCCACTGAAAAACCTGAAATGCCTAATGCGAGGTTGGAACTTTGTACAATCTATTTGAATTAAAACAGAATTTTTTGTATTCACAGAGGTTATTTGCCAAACACCACACTAGAAGTTCATTATGTCGAATTTTCCATGGCAGGTCATTATCGTACAAATTCGTCTTTAACTCAATTCAGTTTTTCGTTTATTAATTGTTGCCATAGTAATGTCGATTTTACTTCAAACTATATCGTGCCAACCTTCAATCCAAAATCAGTTGGTGGTGACAATTTCTTAATGATCGGCTTTTTTACAATTCTTAAAAGCCTTAAAGGTCGACTGAAAAAGACAGGTATGTTAAAGGGGTACCATTTTCCAATGGAAAGTACGAAAGGGGTACCATTTATGTTATTAACTTTTTTCTTCAATCGCTTTTTTCTTGAACCCCACACATAGATCATAAGTGGACAGTAGCTATAAATATACAGTTACCCACTCAAAATCATTAATTTACAATAGTAAACACAAAAAAGTTTGTGTAAATATACATATATGTGTGTAGATGAATAAGAACAGAAGGTAAATTAAGCCAGTGGATACCCCGATAGGGTTAATTACAAAGTGCGAGTCAAACAAAATACACCAGTGAGTTAAGGACAGAAAAACTGTTTCAAAACACCTTAACAAAGGTTTGTTCCGCTAGACTTGACTAAACAGATAACTCAAAGACACTTAGTTTCCACAGTTTTGCGCTCCCAGGCATTTCTCATTTCATAACAGCTAGGAAGTTGAGGTTTAACTTTTGCGAGCAACCAAGAGGTTACTTGTCCAAGAATCCTCAATCAATCATAGTAGTGCAATGAATGAATGTTTCATGGACTCCTTGGTTTTCAAAGCGTGTTTTTCGAGAGCTTATCCATTCCCCGATTTCCACGCTAAATCAAACAATATTTAAAACCACAAAGGTTGAATCTATACCTCCCCCTCCCGGGCCTATCCAATTCCTCACGTACAGAGCGCAACTTTTTTACCGGCCGGAATAACAAGAACTGAGCTGGCTCATAAAACCCACCAGTTATGATACCATTCTGTACATAAAACACCTTAACTAAGCTTTTTCTTTTAGGGCTGAAACCGACCTTCATTTCGTTCTTCCTTTGTCTTTGAGATATTCAACTCTTCTATTCCTTTTCTCATCTGCTCGAGGTCTTCTCTAACTTCAACTGCAAAAAAAGGAAACACCTCAACATTAAATCATGATAACCTAAGTTGCTGGATATAATTTCTCGCCGAAACACTAGCGTAACGTTAGTAAAACAATAAAAAGCATAAATTGTCTCAGAACCGGCGAGCCATTAAAAACTGACACTCCGGTGATGCGGACACTAAGGAAAAAATTATGTATGAGAGAACTGATCCGGGAGCATCGTAAGGCGGAAAAAACCGTTAAAATTCCGACCGCTGTGATACGGACAAACCCGTTACTATGGTAAAACCAGTTCATAAAATTGCCACAACAACATTTGTGCTATATATCGACTTTGAAATACACAGGCCACGTTTAATCAGACCCTGCATAAATACGGAGACCCCTATTACCGCGAACACAACGTTCATATGGACACCTAATCAAAGAAGACAACCAGTGAAAGCAGACATCAACTTTATAAAAGTGCTCCGCTTTTAAAAGTGCACATTCGGGAATATATACCAAACAATACCGATACCCAATTATGCACACCAAGTTAATACGCACAGGCTGTTAGTAAGGAACCCACGTCATTTATAATACCCCGTTTACCTGCATACCTCTGTTATATGTACGCACACAAAAATTACGCGACAGTGGAAATCCATCTTGAGAGCACTCATTTGGGACCTTGAGCAACGACAATGATGACGTCCCTGACGTCAATATAATGGAAGTTTGAGCTAAGTCTAATACAGCGTTATCGAGATATTTTGGGATGAAGTTTTTATGGTTGGAAACTCAGTATAACTTGGACAAGATCTTGATGTTCGGCAGTTAAGAAAACGAAGAGCTTTTGAAATGGTAATCGCTGAGAAGATAAACTTGTGACAATGTTATAAAAGTCATAAACATTATGTGACGATTTTTTTAAAAGAATGCTATCGAGCCGTTTTTTAGATGTATCGAAAGCGTAAAAAATCAAGATTTAGCATAAATTGCAATTGGAAATGTGTTTAGAAAAACAGTTAGTTTCCAATATCGCAACTAACAAAGGCACAAAAATTTCCTAGCATGGAAATGTGATACTAAAGCACAGCGATATCTCTCAATCTATAATTGTTCTTCTCGACCTTTTTCGAGATTCGACGCAAGAATGTGGAACAGTAGTCCTCAAAGTATTTGAGTTCTCCCTAACCACACATTTAAGGTGGCTCGACTGGATTTTTGGGGTTGATACCTCCCCAGTTTGAGCATTAACTACGTCGGCATGAGTAAAGATATGGAAAAAAGGTTACCACAGCTGTATTATATAAAGATGAAAATTTCTTGTGATCTGGGTTTTATGTAATCGGAGTCGCCATGGCAACGTAATGACGCCATTACGTTTTTCATTTATCTTTGTGTTTCTCTGTACCAGGAGTTTTTTGAAGAAATTGCTTAAGGGAGTATGTACCTGCCATAATTGCCTCCATTATGGCAAAGTTCAAATTCTATGAGAGCGTTTTCGAAATATTTTGAAATGCAGTTTTAAGAATCATAAAAACAGTGAAATAGCATGCTAGCCACACAATTCGCTGATATTTTAAGAAAATGATAAGCTTTGGGAACGCGGCTTCATCTCATAGTGGTTTGATTCCATTGAAAACTGCATACAAAAAAAGAGGGGAATTGCTCTGGGCGATCGCGAGTAAGAAGAACTATTATTATTGTCTTATATATTTGTAACCTTTTAAATTATTATTATTTTCAGACATTATATTATTATTGCGGGCGACAAGACGCAATCCTAACCTCCGGGTTGTTATTACGCATGCGCATGTATGTAGTTACGCGCGCATTCCCAGACCCCTAAGCACTGGGGTCGAGAATGTAGCCAGAATTCATTTGGACGTCCACTAAGAATGAACGGAATGCACATAACGCAATTTGATTACGCACGTTTGAACCTTCTATCACTCGTAATCTGATCGCGCTTGTTTTGACCATCTGTCATGTGAAATTTACACCAAGCACAGCGTTGGAGCAAAAGCGTTTTCACCTTCGATCGTTGTCGCCCGCACTACGTAACTTTTGGTTACTACTAGTTAATTATGATTGTCATGCGCTTCATACATGAGCCTGCAGCTCGGATACTCGGGGCAACCCTATCGCATTGATTGATTAAGCCGACATAAAATGTACAATAAGTTTCGTAACCTTGTATCGGCAAAAGGTAGGGCGTACCTTCTTGTACATTTTATAGTTCTGTTCTCTTTTTTCTTTTCATTTTGTTTTTTTCCTAGTGAATGTGCACTATATCTTTTCCATAGCCCAACTCAATTAGCCTAGCTATTTGCGAGAGGAGGATGTTGAAACTTGAAAGTAGTAATCATGTATGTTTATGTTTTTTTTTTCTGGATTCAATTCACGCGAAAAAAATTCTCTTACATACAAGATAATTTAAAACATTGACGAAGTAAATGGAACTTTACGCTATACCCCTATCTGGTTCCTGTTCGTCTGATGACACAGCGGAAGTAGCAATGTTCTCTTCTCTTGAGTCTCAATTGGTCAAAGTGAAGAGGTGATCAGTTAGACATAGATCCCGTTTCCCTTTAACCTACCAGAAGATTACTCGAGCGCTGTTAGGTGTTAAACTATGGTTACATAGAAACCACTACAAGGTCAGAGTGATAATCAAGAAGTGATTGAAGTGAACGATTGTCTCGTGAACTACATAATCTTAGGTACCTTTCAACCAAGCAATTAGTTGTGATTTTTTCCCGTGAGCATGCGGACTTTTCTAAAGGTACCAATCTATTCTCTAGAGTAAAGCTGGAAAGCCATATTGTTCGAAGATACGAGTGCAATTAGGTCGTGAATTTATAGCATGACAAATATTTATCAGTCGAAAACAATGATTTCCCGTTCCTCTTCCATATACAAGAATACTTTGTTCTAGAGAGAAAAATATAGCCTGGCAAGTGCTCTGTTCAATACACTAAAGTACACCATTCTTTCATATAGTAAAAAATATAAACAGTAGCACTGTAACAGTAGTTCCGCTTCTCGGAAATTTTAATCAACTCGTCGTTGAATTAGACTTTTGAGACGACAGTTTGCACGATCAGAATCTGTCCCTTTTCAGTGAGTTTAGAGTAATGCTAGATAACGATAGGCATTCCTAGTATCTTCAAAAGACTCTTGAGTTGATCAGAATTCAGAAACACTCTGTTCCAATTCCTTTGAGAGCTTACTACTTCAAGGGGGCTTCTTGATAATTAAGGTTCACTTAGAAGAGTTAGTCAATCTCTGACGGAACTGAACCATTTGCTCCCATCTTTTATTGTAAACCGAACAGAGATGCCTTTGCTCACCATGTTTCAGGCAGCCATGTGCTCTGTGCTCTGGTTTGGAACGCTGAGGGCGCGAGAAAGCGATTTGTGCCAGAAGAACACATCCCTTCCCATTTTATAGCACGGGTCGTTCCCATGGAAACGCCTGAGCAATAAGGGGAATTAGGACGCTTCAGGGTTATATGCTTGTGTTGAAATTAATCAAAACGTGCTTCTCGAGTGCTGAATAAAAGTAAAAGCGTATTTCTCACAGAGGTTATTTCCTAGACACCACACTTTAAATATACCGTATATGAAATCCTTTTTTGACAAAAAACGCGGAAACATGTTCACCATACGCCGTCCGACAAACAAAACAATCAGAGACACCAACAAAAGGGATTATATGGCATTCAGTCCTCCTGTTCTGAAAACTGCCTGAATGGTGAAGAAACTACAGAATGTTCAGACTGGCCCTAAGAACTCTGCAAATCCGTACAGATTCATTGTTTATAGACACGTTATCATGGATGCAAAGCACCAATGCATATGATTGCTCAAAGAAGAAAAACAAAGAAGAAGGAGTTTATCTCCAGATTACACTTAAGTTATTGAGTAAAACCAATGACAATTCAATTTAGATAAAAGCCAGGTTAACATGGCTATTTGGAGATCACTTCCAAATCAGTCATAATTATAATAAAGCAGTAGCTTGGCCTGTTTTTGTAAGGATGAATAACTTTGGAAACGCCCTTAAAAGGAAAGGAGAGGAGCTTTTGGGATAGATAGTCTATCATTGCCAGCATCTGCAACAAAAACAAAAACGAAAGACTATAGAGATATCTAGGATTGTGTCACTTATAGAGCCTAAATACAGGGGCTTGGGTCCCATGTAAAAACCTTTATGTCAAAACATGGCTTGTCTCAGGCTGGCTCGCCTCATGTAATACCGGACTGAAATTCACCGAAATGAAATGTTTATCGTGTGGCCGGATATCAATCAAATGATTATTCAGAATATGTCACCTCTAAAATGACGTCCACACATCTCAAACTTAAAATGTACAGAACTAATCAGAGTGGAATATTCAGAACGAAAGGGAATCCGAGTAACTTTTGATCACTGATTCAATTGCTTATAGTCTGCAATCGTTTGATTCATGATTTCAACATCTTGGAAAAGTTATTATAAGTACAAAGATGTTACACGCATGAAAAAAAAAAGAAATACGACAAAATTGCACATTCACCGGGTGCAGCTGTAGAAGGCGTTAGAGAAGCGACATCTTCTTTTCCTGGATCTAAAATTTTCAAAGAAACAACAACACATTTATCTACACTGTCCCACTTATCAAACGCCTTCCAACAAACAAAACAGTGAAAGACACCTAATAAATGGGAAAATTTGGCATCAAGAAGTCATTCTGTTTCCAAACGGTCTGAATAGTGGAGAAACCGCAGAAAAGTTCATATTTCATAAATCAGCACTGATGACTAATCAAAGAAGAAAAATGATTAGGGAAGAACTCATCTTCCCCCTCCTCCAATACCAAGGCAAGGTTTGAAATTTATCTGCGATTTACTTGAATTCAAACAAACAGAATGCTGGAGAAAGGTATAATAAGAATCCTTTGGATCATTCTTCTTTAGGCGTGTCACGAAAAAGAATCTTCGCGACAAAAATTGGCCTGTTCTAATCTACCTCCCCTCATGTAATACCAGCAAAAAAATCACCTCCCCTAAGCCAGCCACCCTGAAAAAACAGGCCAGCTCGGCTGCCAATCGCCTTATTAGATATGCTCACTTAATTGCCAAAAACTAGACAGATTACAGAGGTTATGGACATTTTCACATCAATAATTCCAACTGTGGTCCACAGAAGACGTTGTATAAGTTACGTTTGCTCATTCATTTGCTTATGGTCTGCAATCATTTGGTCCATGACTGGCAAAGTGACGGTAAGTCAGTTGTAAGTTGTAGTTCAACGCCGTCATTTTAGTACCTGTACAAACAACAACAATGTTATACACTTACCATCTGCAGGTATTTCACCCTCTGTATCCTCTCCTTCCGGTAAAACCGTTAAGGAAGCAACATCCTGTTTTTTCGGATCTAGAATTTTCAAAGAAGGAAAGACAACACATTTAGCTATAATGCACTATCCCTAATTGATAAACATATTCATCAAACGTCTTTCAACAAAAAAAACGAAGAACAGAGACAGCCAATGAAAGGGAAAATACGGCGAAAAGGAGGTTATTGGGATGGCACTTCAGCGTTGCCAGCACCAGCAACAAAAACAAATAACTGTAGAGATATAATGGATTGTTTCACTTGGAGATTGATTAAACTAAAACATCATTCCGTCTCTCAAATGTACCAAAAAGGAACTTTTTCATTACACGAGAACCGCGAAATATCAAGGGGCGTTTCCAGAATCGTGGGGTTTGTGGGCAAGCGTATCCTCTTTCCCCCTCCCCCTTCCATTTTTTTTTTGGGGGGGGGGGGCTCTCGCTCTAACTTTCGCGCAATCACTCAACTGGAAACGCTTGCTACGCAGGCTACCGTTACACGCATCTACCTGTACAACATGCGAAGGAATTGTACACTCACCATCTGTAACCGCAGGTAGTTCACCCTCTCTTTTCCTCATCTGTGCTCTTAAAAACAAAAATTATTCTATAAGAGGTCACACACCATGCAAATAAACTTACGGCACCCGCATAAGCGGTTATGTAAAGCTTATCGAAAGGTAAGTCGGACAGTTGAAAAGACTTAAGTAGAGAGAGGTTAAAGACTTTTCATGATCTTAAGCATCGTTTTCTTGTGACTCGTTCTTAAACTGTTACTAGCGACCTACACTAGCATACCGAGCCTGTTACTCTAAGTCTTAGAACTCTGACTCGTTTCTGTTGTTGACCAGGGGATAAATACCTCTTACTAACCAAGTTCGAGGTCCGAACTGTAAGTTGCGGACGGATTTTTTTTCCCGTTAATTTATCGCCAAAGCCCGAAGCCCCCGGGCAATAAATCAATGGGAAAAAACGAGGATACCCAACTTACAGTAGGACGGAGAAAACGAGGTTGGTGCGATATTTATAACATCTGTGAGGTTAATTAGGCGCGCGGGAAAGAAGCATGACTTTCTTAACAGAAGTTATACACCTTGATTGATCGTTGCCCCAAGATACACGAATGACGTTACAATAGACTCTTTTCTTTGTTTTGTCCACAAAATAAGAAAAATAAGAACCCGAAAAGTAAAGCGTTCTTAAACAGTTGAAAATCCCTCAACTGAAACAAATCTTCAAAGTGGTTGTCCTCGCTAAGAGAGAGACTTATACTCCCAGTGTTCAAAATGTCTACGCGATTATTCTACTTAGAGCAAGTGAAAGGCTCAGGAGAAGTTTTGAAGAAGCTCTTAACAAGTACAATAAAGAAGAAACAGCTGAAGACAGGTAGAAGCCAATATGAAAAGCAGTGTCGGTGACTTGAAAATTGGGCCAAAAATGCCGTAGCCGGCACAAATCAAACAGCCGCGTACGCCACAAGTCAATTGAGTCGTTTTTCTTTCCCGCTGTTCATTGTATTAGGCAAATAGATCAGTTCATGTTCCCCTGCGTTTGTTCAATAGAGAGCTTTAAATTCGAGAACGAGGACGACTACGAGGAAGACATTTAGTTTTAAGTTTTCTAGCCTATAGTTCTCTAAAAATAAGCACACCGGGAAGCTCCATTTTACGTTTTCCACCACAAAAGTTCGTTCGCTTATTTCCTTTGAAGGAGGTAAAGTCCCCTCCCGACCGCTAAATGATAAAATTCCTGACAGTTGATGACTTGTTTTCGCCACTACGACATTTTCTTTAAAACTTGTAGTAGAATAACGACGGCTATCACATTTTCCCGCCAAAATGACGTTGGTTCGCGCGCGCGCACTACTTAGTATTGAGAAAATCTCGTTCTCGTTGTCGTCCTCGTCTTAGAATCAAAAGCTCTCTAATAATGGGATCACAAAGGACGTCAAAATGTGGTAAGACTTGCAACATTTTGACGTCATCTGTGATCTAATTCTGAACAGATGAAGGGGAAAATAAAATCTCGCTCGCGTGGTAAGGGGGAGATCTAATAAAGCAACGTTAAGGATAAATTCGGAGTGATATTAAGCAACTGAGGCACACGGACTTCGATTGAAACCTTGCATGCGATATCGTAATAATAGGCCATTCTTGAGGCTATGAACAATTCACTGTAATTACTTCTCGTCCTTGGCCAACCTTAAATAGGGCATTTACGCAACGACGACGGCGACGGCAACGAGAACAGCAGTTTCCTCATGCACTTTCTGCTTCCAGAAAGAAGAAATATCTTGACAAGACAACTTTTTGACGAGCGACGTTTATTCAGCGTCCTAACGGTTTTCACTACAAAGTTACACTGCACAATGAATTATAATTTTAGCGTGATCTGCAGCTAATTGAATCGGAACAACGAATGGTCTGTACTGGGAATAACGATCTAAACAATCGTCGGCTAATTGAATATGCAATAGCGTATTCCAACATCCCCCCTCCTTTAGAGATGATGACATCAGTGACTAGAAAACTTAGCATAGGATTCTTGCACCCGTGTACTCTAAAGTTGGAACACATTTCACACCCTCGTATGCGCTAAAGTTGAGATGCTGATACGAAAACTTGTCACACGTTCACAAACAAAAGAAAAGAAAACTAATGATATTCTTGTCATGAAAAGCTATTACAGCAACAATTACTTATACGACACACTACAAGTACATTTCTCTTAAATTGTTAGATTTGTTCAATTAGTCTCGTAGGTGGTCTAATAGCATGTCGTGGACGAGACAACGCAATTCCGACCGAGGTCTTTCCCGGCACACACTGTTTGAGCAATGGCTTTTGTGATGGCTGGTCAGCGACATCAGCTGCTGTTGAGCTGAGATGTTTGACAAGTCCAGGTCTTGGAAACTTTGGTTCTGTTCCGGGAATTGATGGGGCCTGGTACAATTCTTCTGGTTGGATCTTAATCGCTGAACGAATATGGCGACGATCCCTGAAGTACCAAGCACCGGATTCAGTCTGTACCTCATATCGCCTGGGCGAACTTTCACTTGGCTGCCGTACCACCGCGGCTTTCTGCCAGATTGGTTTCTTGGGATCTAACTGGAACCGGACACTCTGAAATTGTTGTAGATCTTGAGGTTTCTTGGCTGTCCGATCGTAGTCATCACGTTGGGCTTGTTTCTGTGCTATTTGCTCCTCCCTGCTGATCTCTAGATTGGGATGCAAATATTGATGGATAGGAAGGAGTGCTCTATATTTCCGCTAGGAAAGCATCTCTCCTGGGCTGAGCTGACCCGGTCTGATTGGGGTCTCACGATAAATCAGCATTGCAAGATGTGGATCAGAACCCGACTCTTCGGCCTTCTCCATTACGCCCTTTACGACTTTGACCATGGCCTCAATGAAACCATTCGACTGAGGATACCTTGGGCTAGAGTGTTGCACTTCGAATCTGTACTGCAGGGCAAATTTTTTTAATTATTGGGACACGAACTGGGTTCCCTGATCTGTGTACACCGTTGCTGGTACCCCATATTCTGAAAATATTGTCTTGAGAAGACGTATCACGTGTCCCGCCGTCTGACTGGTCAGTTTCTTTACGAAAGGGAACTTGTTGAAGTAGTCGGCAACCAGCAGGTAGTGGTGAGAACGATGCCCAAATATGTCAACTCCAAGTTTGAACCATGGCAAGCTGGGCACATCATGCGGTACTAGTGGTTCCTTCTGTTGAGCAGGCTTGTATTTCATGCATACGTCACATAATTTAACTGCATTTCTCACATCATCCGAGATTCCGGGCCAAAAGACTATCTCTCGTGCTCTCAACAGAGTTTTCTCTTCTCCTAAGTGGCCCGCATGAAGATCCGTTAGACACTCTGCTCTCAGTGAAGTTGGAATCACAAGTCGATGTGCTTTGAATATCAGGCCATCTTCAACTGCAAGTTCTTCACGGTAATTCCAATATTGTTGCAATCGTTCTGAGAGTTGCTGCCTCTGAGGCGGTCAACCGTGAAAGATGTAATGCCTTAACTGGTTCAAGGCTGGATCAGCAGTGGTGGCAATTCTGGTTCTGTCCAGTCGGTTGTCTGTGGCTGGAACAGTTAAAGTGATGTGATGCACTGGAATCACATCCACCTGCTTTGAGTCCATAGGCTTTGGACTGAGAGGATCGACTCGTCTCAGGGCGTCTGCAATTGAGTTGTCCTTCCCACAGATGTACTCGACTTGAATTTCGTATGTTGCAAGCCTCAGAAGAAGTCGTTGAAGTCTCGGGCTGGCAGTGGCAATAGTCTTCTTCCAAATCATTTCTAGAGGTTTGTGATCTGTTTGAACTCTGATTGGTTCACCAAATACTTAGCTGTGAAGCCTCTCCATGGCGGACACCACCTCTAGCAATTCCCTCTCGATGTTGGAATAGCGTTCCTCAGCGGGAGTGAGAGATCTGGATACGTAGATCACTGGTTTTCCTTCTTGCAGCAGTACGGCACCTAATCCTTACATGGAAGCGTCAGTCTGAATAACGTGTTCTTCTTTCCAGTCAAAGTACGCGAGTACTGGGGTCCTGGAGAGCTCTTCTTTGATGGCATCGAAGGCATCTTGATGGGAAGAGTCCCAGGTCCATTCCGTTTCTTCCCGAAGCAGCGGTTTGAGTGGTTTGAATAGTCTCGTCAACTTGGCTAAGTAGCGCTTCAAATAATTGACCATTCCCTGGAAACTCTGCAGAGCTTTCTTGTCCTTTGGCGCTTTCATCTGTTTGATGGCCTCGACCTTTTGTCGTTGACCTTCATATCCTTTGGCGTGATGGTCTGTCCGAAGAAATCGCACTTGGTTGTTTTAAACTGCAGCTTCTTTGGATTGAACTTAATTCCGTTCATTCGTGCCGTTTCGAGTAACTGGAGTAGATTTTCGTCATGATCCTTGGAATCTACCCCTCTCGTGATGATGTCGTCGATGCATCCCGTGATTCCTTTTACTTCTTTAAGGCCTGCATTCGACCTCTCCTGAAATACGTTTACGCTGACTTTAAGACCAAAGGGAAGTCGGAGCCACCTGTATTTCCCCCATGGAGAGTTGAAGGTAGTTGAGAGTGAACTTTCATTGTCCAATTCTACCATCCAGTACCCTGACTTGGCATCAACAAGTGTAAAATGTTTTCCTCCGTGGAGTTCAGCACTAACTTCATAGATAGTTTTTGTGTGTTACTGGTTCCTTTTGATGCTCTTGTTAAGGTCCTTTGGATCTAGGCATAGTCGAATTGATCCATCAGGCTTAGAGACAGGAACGACGCTGTTGATCCAGTCTGTGTCTCCCTGAACTGGTTCAATGATTCCCGAACTGCGCAATCTTTCAAGCTCTTCTTTGTATGCTGCTTTCTTCTTCTCAGGTACTGCTCGAGGTGGATGTTGTACAGGTTGTGCGTCTGGCTTGAGCTGGATATGGTGCTTGCCCCATGGTAGTTTTCCTATACCTTCGAATAAATCTCAGAATTCGAATAACACGTACTCCTTTGTTATGGGCAAACTGTGTCTCTTTCCATTCAGGATGACAGCATCATCCAACACCTCACATGTAGGCTTGTTAAACTAACTGGAATCTGGTCGCAGGACGTTAACACTTGTATGGATTTGCGGCGTACTGGTTAAAGAGGGCGGAGTTACCTCTGGAAAGGCAAAGAAGCCGACTTGCTAGGCTGTTTCTCTGCCTAGGATGAGATACGTTCGAGTATCAGTCAGTTGACAAGTCGCCATCTGTGGCTGTTGTCTATCACCAGTATGAATCGCAATACTGCACGCTCCTAGGTTTGCTACAGGAGATTATCCATATCCAAACACCTGCACAGAGGTAGGGATAAGAATCTTGTCTGCAAATAAGGATTTGTGCAGATACAAAGGCATGACGTTGCATCCTGCGCCTGTACCGATCTCGCATTCAACCTGATATATCGGTCCTCCACTTGCTAAACCAAAGAGGCGTGATGTGCTTGCTTGAAGTATCATTAATACTCTTCACATGAAAAGTCTGAATATGGTGAAACATTGTGTGTTGGTCATCCTGTGGTACATGTGGACCAAACATCATGTGGTAGTCCTGTGCAGGATCACGAACTGAAGTCTAATTGGCACTAACTCCTGTCAGCGGTGCTTGTAAACCATGTACCTGAACCTGCCTAGGTTCACCAGTTGTACCTTGTTTACCTGTTTTGCTCTTGCAGCATTTTTTGTAATTTCCTTTCTTTCTACACTTGTGACTGGTAACATCCTTGGCCGGACACTGCGATCTGGGGTGAGCAGGCTTTGCTCCACAACAAAAACAACTTTGTCTTTTTGTCTCACCATTCTCTTTATTTCTAAACGTCTTGTCTCGATTTGACCACTCCGTTGATTTTCCGCCTTTTTGATGCTTTGCTTGCACTTTGTGAATCTGTGTTGATCCTTGCTGTATTGCAGTTGCTGCTGCAGTTGCTGTACTGAGCGTCTGCATAATTGATCTTTGACAATCGCTGTTGTACAAGTGAGTTGCAATTTCGATCACTCGTTCGGCGGTAAGCAAGTCCTGGTCTTCTTCCAAACACTTTTGATAAACTTTTGGATTCTTTAGAACGCAGAGAATAGCGTTCCTGAGAGCCATGTCCTTCGCGTCTTCTGGTCATCCACATGCATCAGTGATTTGCCTGCACTTTTCCATGTACTTTGGTAATTCCATATCACCTTGAGTGAGTACTTTGTACTGTGTGGCCGCGACTAGTTTGCTCCCTCTGGGTTTGCATTGCTCCTCCACCTTTCTGAGATGTATCTCCCATTTCTTGCGATCATCGGATAAAATTGTTGCCTTGTCAAAAATATTTTGTGCGCGTTCACCGGACCACTGATAAATGCATAGACAAACAAACTCCGGATCTGCCTTGGTCATTACAAGACCTCTGCATAAAATCGACACCTTCTTTTTTCATTATAGGAAACGCTCGTGAAGTTTTCCTTCGTTTGTCCAATCCAAGATTGGTCCTTTCGCGAGAACTTCCATGGTGAACTTGAGGCCTGTGAACACAAACATATTCGCTCGAACTCTGTGATCGTCGATTAGCGATGAATTTGTTCGGTTTCCAGATTGTAGTAGACTAGACTTTTACTCCTGACACCATGTTTCCTCATGCACTTTCTGCTTCCAGCATGAAGAAATATCCTGACAAGACAACTTTTTGACGAGCGAAGTTTATTCAGCGTCCTAACGGTTTTCACTACAAAGTCACACTGCACAATGAATAATAATTTTAGCGTGATCTGCAGCTAACTGAATATGAACAAAGAATGGTCTGTATTGGGAATAACGATCTAAACAATCGTCCGCTAACTGAATATGCAAAGCGTATTGCAACAGGTTTAGACAAGCAAAACAACAAATTTGCACGTTCGTGACGCTTTTTTGTACATTCCCTGCTGTCGTTGCACGACTAGAACCTGAAACTGCCTAATTTCACGTTTTTCTTTTCCTGAACTTTGATGCAGTCCTTTAGAATTCAACCCCCCAAAAAATTGCCAACATTTGACGAATTAAAGGGGGTGGAATAAGCGCGATAAAGTTTGAGGCAACGCAAATTCACTTTTTAAGTGACGTTTTCGTAGCCGCCGTCGTCGTCGTTGCGTAAACTCCCTAATGATACCTGTAAACTATTCACTTTTGTCTTTGCATCTTACAGTGCGACTTCTATAACCGGGGCCACCTAGACAAAGTTGACCAATCGGGTACAGGAAAATAACAATGCACTCCAAGAAAGTTAGTTGTCAATCGAAATCAACAACATGGATCGAAATCAACCAATTAAAACCTATAGACGTGAACTTTGGAACCCGCTAAAGAAAGCCTATGTTTCCTGAGGGTCCGTTAGAATGTTGACGGAGGTGAAAAATGTAAACGTTGTTCATATTTTTGACTTGAGGTCGCATGTTTATATCTTCAAAGTGCGGCAATGGTAGCGAAGAAATTACTGGTAGATGCCACAATAACAGCTTGTGCCGAACAAATATGTTTCCTGGTGTTATATTCCAAGTTTCGAACAGAAAAACATTGACTGGTTAAAAACATTTTGCTCTCGTGAAAAAAGTTTGCTATCAATATTTGAATTTTGTGCTTCTTGCAACTTATTGTTTTTTTACGAGCTGCTGATGGGCCCACAACCACCTTTCTTGGAATTATGTATCGTTATTTTCATGTAATCCGATTGGTCAACTTTGTCTAGGTGGTCCCGGTTACAGTAGTCGCACTGTTACAAACGATGTTCTTAAAAAAGAAAGATCAAACTTAGTAGCTGTTGAATGAACCTGTTTAGTTTCCCTTATGAAGACTCGGGGTACTTGTTATGAATAATAATGACTCATGAGTTTGTATTGAGATACAATAACTTTATACAAAAAAGACAAAAATTAGTTCAGTTGCTTCTCTGTTGCATTTATAGTTATTACGTAACTGCTTGAAATTAAGTTAACTTAAGTTTTGCCTCCTTTTCCTATAAACAGAAGGCATTCACTTATCACTAGTAATAGTTGACACTAGAGCTGCCCCCGCTCTGTATATTTTCTGTCAATAGTATTCTTGCTCGTTGAGTAGCTCTTTGAAATATACCCGTCCGATTCACAACGAAGATTTCCATACAAATTACATACAATAACTGAGGTAAATACAGGAAACGCAAGGTTCCATGCACAGTTTCTGTTCGATTTACACAGCTTTGATCAAAACATTCTCAGTTTCGAGAATAGTTTATTCTAAACCATAAGATAAGACTTAATTAGAAGTTGAATTTTTCGCTATTTCTCTTTCACTTTTTACATTCAGTTCATTTTATTTGGCGGAAAGTAATCCTTAGAAATTAAAAGGACGTTTGATCAATTCACGCTCGCGTATTCTAGTCTTATTTTAAACGTTAAAGCGGAAGGACATCTGTGAGCAGAGAATAAGTCAGCACAGAATTTGATTGTCGGCGAATTTCTGTAATGGTCTATCGTTCTTCTAGGGATAAGCTTAACGAGTGTCTTTTGGTCCATAACTTTCAAAACAACGGCTCCACAGAATGACACGTGACACGTACCGCAAAAGAGTATCGAAGTATAACTGCACAATGAATGTCACAAAATCTACCTAAGGGGTCTCTTCGGGATTTTCTGTCGTTACGTCATCCTAACCATTTCGTACTTGTGGGCGCAAACAATAGAAACGTCATCATTACCTACTGATTCCTCGCGGCCCCTGTTCAAGCAAATCGAGATTTTTTCTGGCATACTAACTGTATATTTCAACTGTAAGTGCTTTCCCTAATTAGTTATTAGGGTGCCGCCTAGGGATTTCGCCTTCTGCGCGAAATCCCTTAGGGGACAATAAACATTTTTTCCTTGCCCTGCCTGTCCTTTTCAGTTTTTTTCCTCTTTTTGCTACTCATTTTTCAGCGAAAATTTACCGTTAAAGGGGCTATGTCAGCACAGGCGAATGAGCGAGCTGGTGGAAAACAACTTGAAAAAATTGCGCCAATTTTTTTACATGGATTTACACTGTTTCCTCTTATCAGCGGCCATTGTGCTAGCAGCGGGGTGAAGAGAATTAACGAATTCTACTCCACAATGAGTGATAGAATCGTAGAAGGAATCTTCCCTCACAGTCAGAACCTGCCCAAAGTATGAGGACATTTTAAACGATTACAACAGCATGGCCGTGAGTTTTGTAACGAAACTCAACTTCTGGAGAATTTGGCTAGACTCTTCTTGTTTTTAATTTGATGCACGGCAAGGATAAACACGACCGTTTGCTCATCGGACTTACAGAGGCACCGATGCAGTTACATACTGTGTAATGCCAAGTCTTTAAACTGCTATTTTACTGTCTGTGTTCAAGCAAATTTGCTCGGACTTTTGGAAAATAGCAGAGTTTACATTCCCTCGTTATTCACAGACTGCTTAAAATGGAATAGTATACCAATGATACTTGGTTCTGTTTTTCTCAGTGATTCGGCGGCACAATCGAACGATTTTGCGCAAATGTGTGTTTCGCGAAGATCAAAACAAAGACATCAAAAACAGCGTTGCTTTGTTTTGACAGGATATAAGTTTTAAAAAAGTGGCTACAGACAAGTCGTCGTCTTTATCTTTGGTCTAGAGTATTTTGTAGTTCGTTTAAAAAATAAAATTTGATATATTATGTTGACCATGACAATATGCTGTTGTTGAATTTTTGTTTGCAATCGACTTTCATGAATGGCATGTGTTTTTAATTCAAAACTACAAGTAAAGTTATCTCAACAATTTTATTCTTGACGATGAAATTGAGGGAACTTGATTTAGCATAATCAGAGAAGAAACGTTCCATAAATTCTATCAAAATATCCCTTCTCCAAACCCCATTCGCTTGGAAACGTCGTTGTAAATTTCGAGGCTCAAGTGTACGCGACAGAGAAATTCACACATAAAACAAATATAGAATTTTGACAGATGAAAGTACTTTGCATAACCTCAGCGCGCATACTCTTCAGCTGACGTAGCCCCTTTAAGTAGCTCTGCCATTGATTTGACCTGTATACATTTGTTAATGTTTTGTTAAAATGATTAATGGAGGCAGCCTATTACTTATAATTAAGGGTTACCATCGCCATTAGATTTTTAATATTAAAGTACCCATGTTTTGTATTGTGGGGAAAAAAAAACTAGAACTTGGACTTGAACAGTTGCCTGATGCGTTCAGTGGCTCCTATTTGTAAGCTTGAGTTGTTTATGGTTGACGGGTAAAAAATTAAGCCATGCTACTGCGGGGAACAATGTCCTTAAATTTCTTGCTGAAATTTCTTTTGAGTTGGGTTAGCACGAAGCGACACGTTGCAACTCCCTTCTTTTAATCTCGTTGTCAAGTAAGATACAATGGAACTTTGGCCCAAATCAAACGTCAAACGTTTCGTGTTCCGAACCTTATTCCTTCAGATGAGTACATGAAGAGATCGACATTTGAATCAATTAAGTCCGACATACCGGTATCTAATTTGGGTCGACTCCATCCTCGGAGACACAGAGGCGGTAAGTTGGGTCAGGAAAAATGGCGCCGAAACTTTTCAAGAACTGGGGAAAGAGCCCCTGGGATACTACTCTTAACGAACCAGTTCAACGACTCATTCGAGGGCGCTGGCAGCTGGCTCTCTGGGCCAGGTAATCATAACTGAATACAGCACAACTGACTCTATGGCTCTCCACGCCGCTGGATTCAAAGGCCGTCGGCTGCTCTGCAGACTTCCGTGGTCACTAAGTCAGAGTTTAACAAAACAGACTTGTCCACGCGGCAGCTTTCTTCGCACCGAGTAAGCGCAAATCCACCCTTGAAAAACAATAACACGACAAAGAAACGTGCAAATGAACGCCTATAAGAGGGAGAGCAATAGGCGGGTAAGAAACAATGGCACTAATAAGCCAGTCCCAACTGGGCAAGAAGGCGATAAACAAACAAAGAGGACGCGATAAAAGACAAATAACAGCAAGGTAATGCCAGAAATAGCAAGCAAACGCTAAGCAAGGTGCGCCGTATGGAAAACGCTAAATATTCGAAACTGATAAGACTAGCTAGAAACCTCGATAAAAACAAAGCAGATGCCTACTCCAACAATAAAACGTGAACACGAAACCGACCTCGCTAGCTGACCTTGCCAAGAGCTATGGACGCAGCGCGAACCATAACGAAGAAATTACCTCTAAAGTGATCGAAGAAACATTGGCAGGCAGAAAAGGCAAAACGTGGGGTCACAGATAAGTTCTCCAAAAGCAGCTGATGGCAGTTTGCTAACGTAAATTTTTCTTCGGAGATGAAAAAAATGTAATGTTAAAAGTTCTAAAACTAGGGTATCTAAAAGATATGATCAACAAATGACGAAAGAATTTCCGTTAAGCTGCGTAGCACTTTGGAAAATAGAAGTAAAAGATAAAAGATAGTAATGCTGCGGCACAATCTGTTGATACTGGCATTAGTTAGGCAGTCAGACTTAAAAAAATCGAAAATGACATTGAATGTCCTATTTACATGTTGGAAAGTAACAATTACTACCAGTCTATAGAGAGAACTCGTGGAAACGATGTTAAGAAAATGATCAAGTGGTTATCAACTCTGGTTTTCCCACAGTTAACTGTAGGAAATGATAGAAATTCAAATTCTTTATCCATATATTTAATATACGGTGTCCTATCTTTTCTCTGGAAATACGATACTTTTCTTGCTGTTTATTGCACTTTATTAAAAAACAGTTATTTATGCATATATTTATAGAAAACAACAACACAAAAAAACGGACAAAAAAAAGACAGAAGGAAAAAAAGAGTTGAGAAGGACTCGATCCCGGCCCCTTCGGCTCGACGCGACTACACCTAGCCAATAAACCACAGCGGCTGATTACGTAACCTTTTTGAAAAGTCTTTAACTTAATGCCTTTTGTTTTCCATGAAACTTCCGCCTGCAAGATAATCGAGCTGCATTAACTGAGCTATTAACAGCAAAAAAACAATGTAAACGCATATTCCATGGCAATGAATGAATGAAAGAACATAATTATGCTTTACAAAACGCCGATACACGTCCTCGTCTGCAGAGTAGCAAGCAAAACATATGTTTTACTATCTCGATTTCCGCTGTTATTTTGAAGTTAATGGTCAAAATCACATCCATTTTAGGCTCATACAGGTTCTTACGAATAGCAGGGCATGACATTTTCTCACTTTCACATCACCTTCTAGCAAGCTGGAATTTGTTTATCCCCCGCGTTGCAGAGTCGAAGAGCAAATGCTCATCTTCTCGTCAAGTTTAACGCCTGGACGAGTCAAAGGCTCTTGAATTGAAATCCAATCTCCGAGTTAACCATCGTACTCATCTGAAAGAATCCTGCGTGTCTTAAATTTGGTTAGACCTCTAACCGTGCTGTAGAAAACTTGCCACAAAGAAACTCTGAGTCTGGGCAGCGAACGATGCTCGCTCTCAACCACCGAACTTTCTCGTGTTTTTATTTGAGTTGTTCGTGGCGCAATGCATTCTGGTAAAAAAGTACCGCAATGTACTCTGGTTAAATGCAATGCATTCTGGTAAAGAGTGATGAATTCGAGAATTCGTCCCACCTTATACAGCTATTTCAAGAAAGGTTGTCGGAAAAAGTGCACGCGACAATCCCAAAAGGTATTGTGGGTGATTTCGAGTTCACTTTTTTTCAAAAAAAATATCAAAGAATGGCACGAGAAGCCATGGACGTATGTTTGCGAGTGCTAAAAGAAAGCAACAAAAGTAGATTCGACAGCTACAGTGTCAGGAAAAGTGCATTGATGATATCCCATATTACCTTTCGGGTTGTCGCGTGCACAGTTTTTTCGACAACCTTTCTCGAAAAAGCTGTATATTTCCCTTAAATCCTGATTATGTTGCTGCTCGCTCCCTACGGTCGCTCCGCAGCAATAACGGTTGAAAGAGTCTTCTAATCTTTGAAAATTTCTGGGCTACTGCTAATATAAATGCCTATTTACAAAGCTAAGGGATAGGAAAATTGTTCCTGGTCATAAAAAAAAACTGCACACATTCCCCGACAGTGTGACTAGAGAGACAACCCGAACAACAAATACTCTTCAAGCTGGCGGCGGAGGGGACCAGGTGTAAATATACATGGTGTGCCTGCTTGATTAGACGATTTTATAGCTCTAAATTGGGGGCAGCAATTAGTATGGCTTGTGTAGTAACAAAAGTTACTAAAATGATGAGGTTATTTTAGTGAGCAAGTCCTTGTATGACTTGTATGTTATATAAATTATATAATTACATATGTTGTGGTTCAATTTTATCCTTGGTTTAAATTTTATTTTCTTTTGTTTTAAAATCATTATCACAAATTACCAAACCCCAAAACAAACGAAAATACAAGTTGAACCAAGGATACAATTGAACCACAACATATATATTGTAGCCATCAAACGACAAAAACAAATTCAAATGAAAAAAGCGTAAAAATTACCTTATCTCACCCAGTGCCTCATACACCTCCTCTTTATTTGTGATGGTTATTTCCAGTTCTCCTTTGCATCCAACCTTTTCAAATTCCTCCTCCAGCCGTTTCTTTACTATTCCTTTTTCGAGGTCTTCCACTAAAGAGAGGAAATTTTCCGTCGTATAACAGTGCAATTCTACAAGAATTGACTTAAGATAGTACGTCCAGATAGTACGTTCCGCCGTCGGGGAAAAAACAGTCCTCACGGCTTCTACCATTACTTTATCTGGGATTGGCCTGGGAATTCCACCAATCGAACTGTTGCCAGTAATATAGAGGTAAAGCCTTAGAAACCATCCTATATCTGCAACAGATGGGTGAAACAGAAGCTGTACATTAACAATTAAGGGCTCGTGATGGCATGTTAGTTTTTACACATTAAAATAACCACCAGCCAAGCAGAACTAAGTATGACTTCCAGGAAAAGTGCCGGATGAGGAAAGGGAAGTCTCAAGCACAGAGAGTTTAACTGGTTGGAAAACACGAGAAAATGTACAAATATGCTGAAAATCTAACGCACTAAGATACTTAAAAGTGTACCGAACTTGTGGGGCTCAGAATAACTCACTTAAATCATAAATGCTATTTTTTTTATATAACCATCCGCTCGTAAATCTTCCTCTCCTACCCATCACAACAAAAGGTAATTTCCCAACATTCTATTTTTCAGCTACTCTGATTTCAAGATTTCAAATGTCAATCAAGAAAAAAGATAACACTAACGCAAGTTTCAAGTTTAAATGAGTGTCACAACGTTTCCGGTCACGTTCCGGTCAAAAGTAGCCATGGAAAACCCGGAGTGATGAGCTCCTGACCTTGATATAATGGGGTTGGTCTAGGAGCTGTTATACTCACTATCAAACTCGGTGACAAATGGCAGTGCTATGCCTGTAGCCACAGACTTTTATTATGCCAAAAGCTGCTTCCTTTGTTGCGCAAGAGGAAAAGAACTAATACACATAATCAGGGAGTAGACAATCGTGATCGAGTGGTTATGCTAACAGATCCCAAGAACAATCTATTTGATAATTCTCGTCTAAATTTAATAGCCGAGCTTCTGTGAATAGCCCCATAGCCAAAGGAAATTGTAAACCTATGGATCTGAGAAAAGTTGGTTATGATGTCAGCGTACGAACGCCGACCATTCGGACGATACTTCCGCGTGGGGTACTAAAAGTAGAAAACTAATTCCTCCCCTCCTCCCTTAGAGTGTTTCGTCCCCAATTGTCCAAAAGGTTTTAGAAATGATTGACCATTCAGAATTTGTCTACTGAGAAAATGTTTGGTCTATTTTAAGGACAAAAATCGACCATTTGACTTTTGAGCGTATTATGAATAAAAATATCCTGCCGACTGATTTCGAGGGGAAAAAATCTTGCAAGGAAATAGCTGGGGAAATATATCCTGCACTGAAACAAAATATCGTTCATGGCGTATAATGCTGAAAAAACATTTTACATCGTTATATCTTGTGGGAAAAATTCTAACTCCAGAGGTTCGGGAAAAAATTCTTACCCAAACTAAATCAGCCCCATACTCTGCCTAAAAAGTCAAATGGTCGACCCCTTAGGGGGAAGGGGAAGAAACAGATTTGACACCTTAGTAACTGACATCCATCAACAAAATGGCTGGCGAACGTGGTGGCAAGACCAAAGATTTGCATTTTCAAAAAAAATAAAATAAAAAATACATCGATTAAAATCACAAATGAAAAGAGAAAGTTCAAAATAACACTCAGTTTTCTTTTTGTGGACCAACGAAAGCTTTTCGCTATGAAATTTTACCCTTCGAGGAATTCAAACATGTTTTCTTCACAGCGGGCAGCTTGGCTTGTTTTCAACCAACCAAGGCAGCGAAGTCTTTGAAGAAACTTCAGGTACATTCTACACTCTATGGTCAAGGAAAGTAAGTTTTTAAAAGGGAATTTCTGTATTTATGAAGGTTTCATGGACGTTTTTTACATTTTGACATCGTCGTCACCATGGATAAACCATGAATGCACTGCAAAACACCTGAACACGAACCGCACAGTCTGTGTAGTTTTAAGATTGAATTATAGTAACCTTATTAAGCAGCGAAGAAGGTTATCGTTTGCTTTCCTATGTCTGTCCTCAAAGAAAATAAACACCTTACGGTAAAACTTTAGATCAGATTTTGTGAGGTATAAATGTAAAAGCTACACATTCGGGCCCGTTGAAAAAAACATAAAGACATAATGGGCTTACGGGAACACAAAAGTCTCTAAGTCGCAGATTGTTCATTAGGCATTGGAGATCGGAGAATTCTCCTTTTACGACACAGAATTCTCCGGCTAGCATTCGATAGCCTATGACTATTTTTTATTCACACATGGATCCTCTTGCAAAATATTCTCCTGCAATGTTACAGTTTTCTCCTGCTACTATGGTGGGGGTAAGTAGAAACAGGAAATGGATCTGCCTATCAAATGCACAAAGTACTAGACGGATAGCGAAATGGTGCTCCACTACTTGAAGAATGATAAAAGTCGCTTTCAGACTTACAGTGCCAATCGGGTAAAAGAAATAAGAGAGAACTCTCAGCCGAAAGAATGGAATCACGTGCCAGGATCCCTAAATCGACGTTTCGCGTGGCTTGACTCTCTCAGGGTAAAACTTAAATCACGGATGGCTACAAGGGCCTACGTTCCTATGGCGTCCTGAATCCCACTGGCCTAATACAGCTCTCAGGAATATTCCGGATCAAGAATTAGAGTTAACACACAAGTCCCACGTCGAACCTGGTACGCAAAGTGTAAACTATTTACGTGATTAATTCTTTTCTTGGCTTGGCCGACGAGTAAGTGAAATTTTCTCTGAATTCTAATCACAGAAGAACTATGAGACAAACTGTTTATAATTCCTAATGAATTCATATGGATCAAAAATTTGTTTTTTCAAGCTTATCCTACAAAGTGAAAATTATTACATATATCAATATTGCTATAAATTAATAGAGCAAGTTATTAATTAATGATTGGACAGGTGTAATGAATTACGTATGATAACTTTTTTAAGGCTAGTAGTTAATATGAATCTTGGGCTAGTACATAATATAGCTTCAACCTGGAACTTGTCCGAATGGCAACCTGTAAAACTGACTTTCTTTGCACCCTGTCAGGGCTTTAACTAACATTTCAAATTACTAGGTATATGCAATATTAGTAGGTAGGGAGTTGAATAGCCTGCATAACAGGCGTTTTATGAGCCAAGCAAGGCAAATGCGGCATTTTATGCGAAGCTAGGGCTCGAAATTAACAGTAACCCGTTAACCAATGGTTGTAGTGGTTTCCAACGTTTGGTTACTAGAAATGTGCCGAAGTAACCCGACATGGTTAGTAAAAATAACTGTTAAATAAGTAGTTTCATTCATAGAAATTCTTCTTGCAAATGAATCTTAATTTTCCCAATAGGCTGATGTGTTTCTTTTTTGCATAACATTGTTTTCTTCGTTGAACAATTTGTTTCGAAAGATAGCATACAATCAAGCAACATGAAAAACGTGCATTGCACAACCTTAATATACCGCCACCATCTTGTTTTTGGCATTGTTTGGAAGTGGCTCGTTTGTGAAACCTGTTTATTATACAGATCAGATGCAAAGATCCTTTGATAGTTTTTCAGAAGACTAATGGTCCCTGGCCAAAATTTGTGAAGAGGATATGGAAATCGAGAAAACCAAATGGAAAATTATGTTTTGAACCAATCCGTCCGTAAGTTTTCCCCATTTACTAGTACAATTTTGTTCATATAATGTAAGTTCAGATTCTTGGATAATAAACTTTATAATTTGGTCGGTATAATTTATGCCCACTAACCCGAAGGGTAGTTATCCAAAACATTAATTGCGAGCCCTAAAAGCGTGAGACGAGTGCGAAGCGCTAGAGAGACGAGGGGAAGAGAAAAAAATAAGCCCCGTTACCAGTCCATTGTTCTGGCTCTGCCGCCCACAAGAAATGACTGAAAGCGGTGACGTCAAAAGGACCAAGGAAAACACGATCCATTACCAGAAAATTGTCACCTTTCTGGCTACCAGAAACACCGACAGTAGCATAAACCACAGGAAATAACAACTACGAGGGCATGAATCGCCTTTAATAACATGACTGCGGCAAAAATAAGACTTGTTCAGCCAAAGTTTAGTTACTTCGGCGGAACGCGAAGTAAAGGATTCAGTAATGTATCAAAATTGACTTTTTTTGACAAGATTGGGCACGCAAAGTCTATTGGTTTTCGGTTTTATTCAGCTACTTTTTCGAGGAAGAAAGAATTATTATTTTGGCTTTCCCGGGGTTTGAACCGACTCACCTATGTGACCTGTCAGATCAAAGAAAACTCTAAGTTCAGGGATTAACCGACTGCGCTACAGCGACCCAGGGTAGTTCGGGATATGAAAAAGTGAAAAAAAAAGTGATACACTAGTTTCCGGACAAGATTGGGCGTGCAAGTTCAAACAATTCACGAGTGAGCCCTCCTTTCGAACTGTTTTATGATGAATTTAAAGTTACAAAATGCTGCACAAAGACATTTTGTCTTTGTTGAGAGTTACGTAGTAAAATTGCTTTCATGCGTTGCGTGACTTTCTCGAACGTTCTCTTAATTAGGGCATGTTTACATTTCAGCATGAGTCAGCAGATTTGCATCAGTTCCTAAAATCAAAAATATGTCGAAAAGCTACTACTATTCGCCTGTTTAGTATTTTCTAGAACCTTATGTAAAACGGTATACAAGTTCCAAGCGAGTTCTTTTGAGGAACTAAGTTTTTTCCCACGAGCTGAACTGCTGTGTTTAGTCAAGTGTCACGAAGGTCGATTTTCAAGTTCTGTGTTTACAAGTTGGCGGAAGCCGTAAGATATCTGAAGTTCGAGTGAGAGTTTGTTATTATTGGCAGAGGCTATGTAGTTTTACTTAAGATCAAGTCAAGTTTGTGTTGGCAGATGCTGTGTTTTAAAGATCTGTAAAGGCTATGTTCCTTTGGTGTTAAACTTCCTTGTGTTAATCCGACATCCCTGCGTGCTGATAGTCAGTGAATAATCATCCTCAAAACATTCGAACTCGTAACATTGAGTTTTAGCCAATTCCATGCTCAACGTAACTGACTCTTTAGCCATGCCTTACATATCTTTAATCAGTACATGAGACTGCTATGCTGTTTTTGAAGCCTGATGTGATTAAGAAAAATAGAGAAGTCTTTTTTCACCGTTTGTTTTGTTAGACTTGTTATTCACCGCCAGTAACCTCATATTTGACTTAGGTCTAAACGTTTAGACCCAAGTCAAATTTAGAAGGATTTGTATGGAGTCATCAGAGCATAACTGGGCTAGTATCTCAGAGACAATTTGCCCCGAAATGCTAGTTTTTGGCAAGTAGGCCTCTTGGATGTTGCTCTTTTCAGAATATCCTGACAAATCCCATAATTTCACAAATTAACACCTTACTCTTACCATATTTCATTTCTTACTATTCCTCCGCATTTACAATTAATCAGTTCCAAACCACGACGCCGAAGTGTACGCTCCGTAGCGTCTTATTTATGTCCAAACATAGCGGCGAGAATGAAAAGAAGGAAAACTTGTTGCTCCAAGGCCACGTTTCACATTATCACGAGCCGATGAGTCGTGTTTGGCCTGTCAACACTTTAAAAATTAAACTTCCAAAAAGTTAGTAAATCAGGCTTTTTCCAAACCCCGTTTAAAGCAATCCAAGAACATCTTTCATCTTAAGCAATAAATTTAACCATTTCTTTTGTGTTTCCTATATTTCTGGAATATTTGGAAATAAACGAAGAGCTTCTCGAACAGCATAGTCAAAAGAACATAACATGCCAGAACAACGCGTCACCAATTAACCATTATTGGAATATGACGTTCATGTAATGAACGTGGGAAAAGCCAGAACAATAGACTGGAACAGTCGCTTATTTTTTTCTCATCCCCTGGTCTTGTGCTTCGTGCAAAACGCTGCGTTCGCTTGGCTCATAAAGCGCCTGTTATGCAGGCTAGGAATTGACTGCTAAGAGGTTCGTTTAGTTCTAGCTGTAACACTTTAATGCTGAGTTTTCGACACGACTTGTGTACTTGAAATGTACACCCCAACAAATACATTATGTCCTACTTGAGTATTTATCTACAGTATATGCTAATACTTAGCCTATGGGCATACAAACAGTGCTATTATACAATACACGCTGATTAGGCTTAGAAGAAACAATGCATTGCTGCACAATACTACACGGGCATATGTAATGTTACATCCCCTTCTCTTAAACAATAAACATACATTACAATGAAACAAAAAACAGTCCTTCAAATCTCTGTCTTTTTCATAGTAACTTCAACTTCTGTAAGCAAAGAAAACGAGTAAGTCTCTCAAAAGGGGATTTGCTGTCTTAGATTCAGATATTGTAAAATATATTCAATAAAATAGCAGTCAAAGATTAAGTCCTTCCGGTGCTCAGATTTCGCGACTCGAGCGAGATTTCGCTGGCCTCTTCTCAGTTTCTACCGAGGTGGGATCTCGTGAGTCAATGTTTGAAGACTTGGCATTCTGAGTGTAGTCGTACTTCCTTGTGGGATGCTGGTCGACGAGTTATTCTTGGTTTTCACATGACGTCATTAGAATTCAAACTAAGAAACTATCGCTTCTTCCTGAGTTTCTACTTTCATGTGATATTAGAGCACCTTAAAACCTTTATACAAACAAATTTTCGGTTAAAAGGGTTCTTTGTTTGCGATACAGGACGGTTGAATTTCCAGGCTTTTGCGTGACGCGGCATTTGGCTGGCGGCCGGGAAAGCTCTTAAGTGGGTTAAAAACATTACGGATTTTTGGAGATTTTGCTATCCCGGGTTTGCTATCTAAACATTCCTTGTCTTAGAATAAATATTCCTTTAAATCTTTATGAGTTCCTCAAGCGAAGCATTCACGCATAAGTAGGAAAACTCAAAAACAGATGTTTCTGTTGGTTTTCGGCGGCAATATTTGTGCCCCTGAAAGGGACACAAACATGGCGTCTCCATACAAAGCTTTATAAATTTGGGTAAAACGTTTTTCCGAATATCTCGCATATGAACAATTGCATAGAACTGATTCTTGGCAAGGCTTTTTGTACATTTATCTTCTTTCATTTCCCAGATTCTAGACTTTCTGTATTAAAAGGTTTCCATTTTTATTTCTGCTTTCTCACGTGAGTGAAAACCGAGAATTGGCTGGACTGTTGGATGAGTTGTTTGGTCTGATCGGATGGATCCTATTCCTTCGTAGGTGAACACTGGTCTCCGTTTCCACAGTATAGGACCGGGGTGTATTTCCTTGATCTACGACCTAAGCGGGACTCCATGTCTTCCTCTCGAGATCTTGTACATAGATGGCTTGACCCTTGTATAATTCAGGAGTTCCTTGGTGTTTCTGTTGTAAAAATGGCTCTGATTGTCTTGTCTCGCCCTCAGCCAGTTTCTAAAGTCTTCTTGGTCTTTTGATGGGTAGATCTTTCCAGGGAGTGTGGATTTAAAATTCTACTACTGAGGCGTTCAGCCGGCGATGCTATATTGGGACTCAGGGGTGTTGTTCGGAGTGCCAACAGGGCTAGATTTATGTCTTCTCTAAACACTTTAGGATAGACCTCTTCACCGTTTGGATTTGACTCGCAGCTTGCATTTTTCTATGCCAAAATATCCTCCGTGGATTTGCTGCAAGATGTTGCCTCTTGAGGATTCAGGGACTATGACACGGCTTCCAAGAAGTACTAACCCATTTTCTACCGATATATCATCTCGCAACGACCAGTAGGGTTTTGCTGTCGGGTCAACTTCCTTAACACTGTCTGGTCAGCCTTGCACAACCTGCTGGGATAACTGCTGTAAGAGTGGAGCTGGAGTGATTCTGACTAGATGATGAACTTTTACATTCATATCTAGTGCCTCGAATTCGTCTAACGGCGAGAGGCGTGTGACCGTTTCTCTTCCTGGAAGATATTTAATAACACAGTCATATGGTGATAGACGCAGCAGCATTCTTTGAAGGCGTGGGGGCGCTTGCGTAAGATTCTTTTTGTGGATTTGTTCTGGGAAACGATGATCGGATTGAACCAGAAACGATGTTCCATAGAGATAAGAATGGAATTTTTCACAGCCATAGACCACTGCTAATAGTTCTCGTTCAATGTTGGCATACCGTGTTTCCGCGGGAATGAGCGCTTTCGATGCAAGCGCTATCGGTCTGTTATTCTGGAACAGAGCTGCGCCCAGGCCCTTGATCGATGCATCAACATGAAGGACAACTGTTTCATTCCTGTTGTAATACGCCAGAGTAGTTGAATTGGAGATTAATGACTTCACCTTTTCAAAGGCTTTCGAGTGTGATGGGTTCCACGCGAAGTCTACATTCTCTTTTAAGAGGTCTCTTAAGGGCACAGTGTGGTCAGCTAACTTGGGAATGAATGAGCTCATGTAGGTTGCCATTCTCAGGAAAGTGTGAAGCTCCTTCTTATCTTTGGGTGGTTCCAGGTTTTTTATGGCTTGGACTTGGTCTGGTCTCGGCTTGACCCCATCTGGTGTGTAAAGCATGCCGAAGAAATTGCACTCCTTTGTCTTGATAACACACTTCTCATCATTGAGCTTGATGCCAGCTTTCCTGGTACGCTCTATGGTTTCATGTAAGTGGAAGTCATGTTCTTTGTCATTCTTCCCGTAGACGGTAATGTCATCTACAATGCCGATGGCTCCCTCACAATTACGGTATGTCTTGTCAATCTTGAATTGGAAAATACCCTGACTCATTCGTACACCAAACGGCATCCTAAGGAAGCGGAACCTGCCGAATGGCGTATTGAAGGTTGTTAAATATGATTTTTTGTCTAATTTTACACTCCAGTAGCCATTTCGAGCGTCCAGCCTGCTGAAGAGCTTTGCACCTGTTAACTTGGGTTTTTTTTCTCTCCACGATAGGGATCGGATGGTGTTCTCTGTTGATTGCCTTCCTCAGGTCTTTAGGATCGAAGCATAAACAAATTAAAGTCGCCCATTTTTTTTTCTGATGACCAGAAGGTTTAACGGTACTGTTCAAACATTCAGGGTACATCTCCATTAGGTCTTGTTTACTCCTGATTGAGGACTGCACTTCAATTGGTACATGGCTTTCGATATAATTCGCGCTTCTTCTGCTTATGTCTGAATGTTGAGCTGAGATATTGAGGCTGCTTGTTGGTCCTGCTTGGTCTGGTTGACTTGTTTTGAGCGTACAATGTAACAACAGCGCAGTGCACGCTTTTAAGCCAAGAATGGCTAGCCCAGCGGTGTCTGTGACACAGAAAATACAGTTGATCTTCTTCTCTTGTACTTGCACGGTATGTTTATGGTGCCAAGCTGCTTAATTAGATTACGATTATAAACATAACCTGACATTTCTTTTGAATCTTCTGAATGCAGTTATCGGATCAGAAGCGTCCCACTTCATCCATGGCAACGCGAAAGACGCACTTCTGCCATTTCTCGCTCGCTCTTCGGTTCTGTCTATCTCGACGCAACTTTAGAGATTACCCGAATAAAACGCTGCCACCATGTAATAATTTAATTGTGCGTTTTCGACAAGACTTGCGTACTTGGCGTGTACACTCCGGAGGACAAGCCACTTGCGCGAGATGCTCCCTACTGCGAGTATCCGACCGCGAAAACAGCACTTATTAAACAGCGTGTCATTTTACAAAGAAACGTGCTTCACTAGAGTGAAATTCAAACAAGGAGAGACGAAAGTGACCTTGACTGTAGTTAACCTTTTCAGCCAATATAGCACGAAGCGTCTTTGTTGACAATAAAATGGAATATGCACTTGACCGATCAAGCCGTTATGCGATCACGTTAAAAGCTGGTAATTGGGCACTGGATTGCGAGCTATGAAGTGCCGAGAACAAAAAAAACGAGACAAGGGAAGAAACTAAATACCACACGACTTGTTCAAAGTGGACCGTAGCTTACTGGTGACGGAAACGAAAGTGAAACCTCAGGAAATGACGCTTAAAAATCCGCCCCTTCGGAAATCAGTTTCAGCAAAGTCAATGTTCAAATTTTCGATGAAAGTGGAAAACCCCTGTTGCTCTGGTATTAGCTGAGGAAAATGGCGCCGGACTTTAGTTTTCACAATCTGTCCAACTGTAATGCTCAATATTGTAGATAGCTCAATAAGGTGTTTAGAGAAGAATACTTATGTACACCAACAAATCCAAACTTTAATAGTGAAAACAGATCATATGGCCTTGAAACTGGGCAGCAAAACATAAAGGCCATAGCAGATGACGAATTACACAACTTGTTATTAAACGGAAGTAGAAAATCGATAATATTAGTCTAAAAATGATGTCAGTGCTTTCATCTGAGTTGTGATGCCATTTTCTTACAAAGTCACGAAATTTTAATACAGGTCACGGAGGTGGAACTATCTTCAATACAGATATTTGTTCGCGGGGAAAAAAATTAACAAAACAGAAAACGAACGTGAGAAAAAATAATTTGCTCCTTCGCTATTGCTTGCAGCAAATCAATGCCAAGGGATAATGGCTAACGTCCGCTGGATAATCTCTCTGACGACCCAGTATAATGTCCGCCATCTTGTTTTTTCTCTTTGGTAGTACCCAGGCCCTTGCATCACAGCTAGATCTCTCGACCCCGCTTGTTTCAACGCCCTAGCTTCTTACGCCCTGGTAATGATTATGGACGAATATCAGTGGCTAAACTAATTAAGGCCAATTTTGAGCTCGCAATAAATCATCAGTCCCTGGATAAATTATAGCCTGCGTAGCTACCCCATAGGAACATTAAAATCGGCCCGCAAACAATGGCAAAGCGAGACTGTCAACTGCACATGTCGCAGTTTTGTTAACAAGGCACATGATTTGGGCGGAAAAACTAGCCAAGGGCATGCATTGGCTTGTCAAAAGCATAAAAAATGATGAAACTCCTGCAGTTTGCGATTCAGACAGGCAAGTATAATTTAATCGGAAGTCATACAGCTCTACCTTGCCCTTTTGCTTCCCATCGAAAAGCTAAGTTGAATCCAGTGCGTCATAACAAAAAAAAAAAAAAAGCAGGAACCTATTTCTGATTAAGAAAAGGATCTTTTGAAAAAAAAAAAATTAGCAATTTTTGAACAATATTTATCTTCAGGAAAATCTTCACTTACTTATAAGCATAGTTCTTGTCCAAGCCCTTAATTATTACTATAAACACCTGCCATTCACAGGGTAAATTGATAGAATCTCTCAAGGCGGTTCTAACTTTGCAGTCAATGGATGAAATCCTATGGTGTGCCGACTGTTCAAATGCCTCTTTGGAAATACTTTCACATTGAACTATTTGTTTTTCAACATTTTACTGGCTGTAACTGCCCACCTTTTTTTGTTTCTATGTCAACTGCATTACAGATTATTTACCACATACAAGATAGAATCCATGTCAAAATAATGCGCACTTGAAGTATATATGAGCTACTGGGCTCAAGCATGAAGTAAGCAAAAGTATTTTTACCTTCCACTTTTAAGGTAGCAGGATTGGATTTAACGTCATCATTCACTTTATTGGAAGCCACACATCGGTATTTTCCACCGTCTTCCTTTTTCACACCTGTTATCCTCAGTTGTTTCTTATCTTGTAAGAAACTGATTCTGTTACTTTCTTTTACTAAAGCAGTTTCATCTTTGATCCAAGAGAATTTTGGTTCCGGAACACCATGTGCATCACTTAAAAAGTCTACAGATGATCCTTCCCTCCTCGTCTGACTCTCTGGGTGTTCAGTGAATTTAGGCTTATCTGTGATAAGAAATTAATGAATAAATGCACCCTCTTAATCAGAATGAAGTACATTTTCAGTTTAATATCTACTTTACAAAAAAAACTTAGGACCGAAGTTAATGATGTACTTCAATGATCTTAAAACTAGACACAGTCACAAAACAAAACTAAGATTACAGAAATTGCTTTACGTGTTGACAAAGGAAACAAAGTCCTTTAAAGGTAAATGTGATACTGATAATTGTTCGATAATCACAGTCAATGTATTGATTGACAGTATCAGTGTTTACCTTAGCAGTACTCTGGAGACTAGTCCAAGACCACAAGAAACTGGTTTACTTGAGTAACATACAGGGTTGTCAAAAGTAGCTGGCTGCCAGGGAAAATAGCTGCCTACCTGGTTAGTTCAGCAGGCTACTCTGCTTGGCATTTCTTTACAGTTCACTTTTTTTAAATAAAATATCCCTGCTGGACTGGTCACTTACTCTGACAACTCAGCCGTCTACATCAAAACTTTCTCACAACCCTAATCATAAGTGCAGACACTTCTCATATAAAGATATTAAAATGAATAAGGAAATAGACAGGGTCCCCTTAATTAACCAAAAATTCACACATACAACTTTTTTGATTCTGAATAAAAGAATAGTGAAAGGTAATCAAGTTAGAGGGGCACCTGACAAGCCCCTTTTTCAAAGGCAGTGCTCATATGGAGTGACTGACTGAGAGATAATCCAGGAAAGGAGCAATGGAAGGAATGTAAAAGAATGTTTACTTAGTGCTACAGGATTTTTCAATTGGTTTTAAGTAAAAAGTGAGAAAGGTTTTCTTACAATGTACTGTTAACGTAGCAGCATCAGAGTAAACTGTGCCAAAACGGTTGGTAGCTACACATCTGTATTTTCCACTGTCTCTCGTATTCACATTTGTAATGTTCAGTTGTTTGTTAGCTGCTAATAAACTGATTCTATCATTGACAATTACAGCAGATTCATTTTTGGTCCAAGTAAATTTTGGTTCAGGAATGCCATTTGCATCACTTGCGAAGGTTATATTTTCCCCTTCCCTCCGTGTCTGACGATCTTCAGGATGTGTGGTGAATGCAGGCTGTTCTATAAGAAGTAAATACATGTAGGGTATATGATGAATAATAAAGTTGAATAGCTATTTAATATTATTCCTTGAGTCTGAATGGGCTCTGAGTCAATAGCCCATGAGGCCCAAGGCATGAGGGTGAGAGGAATAATAATTATTGTTTTAGTAAAAATCCAACTAGTTGGTCAAAAATATCGAGAATAAAAAAAACTTTAGCTAGTTAAAGCTAGACTTTAATCATTTTTTGAAGCTAAAAAGCCCACGCCTTTCGCTACTAGTGGGCTATAACGTATAGCCTAATATTTGCTCAACCAATCAGAATGCAGCATTGATGATGGACCACTAGTTGGATTTGACTAAAATACTACAGTTTAATTAGGCTCCCATAAGCGACAACCCGAAATGCCAATACTAGAGTAAGTGATTGCAAAATAATTAATGAGAAGAAAATAAAATCAAACCTGTCTGATTCACCCGTTTATTCAAAGAAAATTTGTAAAAAGTCATTTTAGGTAGGAGTTCACCATCTATGATTTGAATTAATTCAAATTCTGTTCCTCTGAGAAAAAAGTCCATTCATTTTGCTACCCTATTTAATTTAAGATTGGAGACCTTTCCCAATGACCCTAATTTATTTTATTTTGAATACAGAAATTACGATAAACCATTTTTTGAATTATGTATGTAAAACAGAAAGATGTTTTAAGTTCTAGCCTGAATATCAGGCCTTCCTGAGGGGCTAGGGGAGAGGAGATTTTAGATGGGGTAGGGGGGAGGGGGAGAAGATAAAGGAAGGCCTGACACAAAACCATTCAGCAAATCGTGTGACACATCCAAAATCTGGATGTGGTAGTGATTGGATAACACACAATACTCCCTGATGTCACCGACCACAAGCAAATACGAGCAGAGTGATCAGCAAGGAGAAGCCATTGAAATTTTTCATCGATGTTTTGATTTCATGTGGTACTCTTATGGACAGAGACACAGAGAGAAATTCAAAAAGGCTCTAGAGGGCGCTCTGAAGTTCTTTCCTAAAATAAAAAAAAGCAAGAATTGTGTTTTCAAAGCCTCGTAGTTAAAAGAAAAGATGTCCTCGGAGTATGGAAAAGCCTCATATACCAGCTTCTGCTGACACTATGTCCGATTGTTGGTTTCACGAGACTGGGACAAAAAAGACGATATCAGTGCTTCAGATATCTAAGTTCTGATTTACAACATCCTGCCATTAAAAGGGTATTGTTACTGTAAATAAAATTAGAGCGACAGCGAGGTAGCCATGTACTGAGAATAGCCTACAGCGCCAATTAAGGCTTTAGCTTGACTTTGCTTGTGCTGGAATACGATAGCGTATGTGATTGGAATTTGTTCGCTTCCTCTTCCAAATTTTTTTTCACTTTTGAAATATCTTAAGCTCAAGCGAGCGCCATCATATTTCGCCAACCGGATTGACCTTGGCTATACGCTCTCACTTTTTTTTTAACTGAACTTGTTACAGCTTTCAGGAGCTCTCTGTGAAGAGGTGGAATTTGCTGCTGCTTGGTTATTTTCTAGGATAGGTGTTTCACCATCGCACCATCCTATTTATTCTTGCAGCTCCTTTCAACCACCTAAGAATATGAGGGATAACCAACAAAACCTAAAGGAAAAAAAAGAGATTTTCCCTCGCATGATTCTCGGCCTGATCTACACCAGCTTTTTAGCTGCTAGACTCTCAGGAATGAGTGCCTGTTGTAACTCTGTAAACAAAAGCAATTTACAATTTTCCGAGCACACGTTTTTTCACAAACAGAGCGTTGGCGATCTTACACTAGCACAATTCCTAAAACATGTTATTCCTCAAAAACGGCAGGTTTTTCATTACAAGTATTCGAAAACTCCTCATTGGAGGTTTCAGAAACTTGAAAGCGAAATCATAGCAACGCAAGCACTGGAGCTCGGCCAAACTGTAAGGTGAGATTTATATTAGGCGAGCTTTTTGACATGTGAAGCTGACAACCCAATGACTGGAAGTGATTTTGATCGGATGATATTGAAGTAAAAGCATCTGTGTCAGGTGTTTCTCTCCTTCAGCTCTCTCCCTTTTTCACTTCCACCTTTCCCCTTTTCCTCCAGAAATGCCTGATACTCAGGCAATTTAAGTTCCTACATGTCTTGCTCTTGCCTTTTGTGCTGAGATGGAATTGTAATTATCTGGACTGTGTAGATTACCCTCGGCAAGTTGTATTGCATTTTTCTTATTATCATAACTCTGTATAACAAACTTCTCAAACCTGATTGGCTATCAACTGTCCTAATTTCAGCACAAATAGGACAGTGTAATATGACAGTACATGTCATGTCTAGGTAATGGACAGTACAGCCCATTACACACACACACACTTAAATGGCTTTTTTTCACTGCTAACAAAAAATTCTCAAAATTTCTGGTGTTTTGATTAGCAAAAAGCCTAAAATATCACAAATTTTGTTATACTTTGGATTAATTGGTAATATATATAGAACTTTGTGTCATCCATTCATTCTGAAATCTTACTCATGATTAACAAAATGGACTCCTGCTACGCAGTTGTCCAATTTTGTTAATCACTCGTATGATTTCACACCGAATTGCACTCCTTGCAGTCTATTATAAATCCTCCCACTAATGCTGTATTCTTCTGATTGGGTGCGGCATTTATTCGAAGGGAGGAGTTTTATTTGTAATTTTGTTTTAATCTCAGCGTTTAATCAAAACCAGCGTTTATTTGAGGGTAGCATTTAATCAAGTAAAACATGGTATATATATGTCAATCATCCTTATCTCCATTACTCACCTAATATCCCATTAGACAGGAAACAAGGAATAGCTTTGCCCTCATCGTTGGTTGTCAAAATTCCCACAAGATATTTTTCAAAGTTATCTCCATCAATGATGGGGGATCCGCATAATGTGAGATCAGGTAAGTCATTGTCAATAAGATTGTAACCACCATTATTGTATTTTAATTCCAGATCTATACATTTATCTCGATAAATCGTGTAAACCCGGAAGTCCCTCTCGAGTTGCTGACCACTCAAACACTTTTTATGGAGACTCTTTATCTCAAAGCTGCTGTCTTTCCCATCACACATAACTAGCGAAAAGTCCCCACGTTGACTGATGCTTACAGGTTTGAGTTGATAGTCTTTGAAGTGTTGCGCTATCCTTGAATAGCGGTGCAATCGACACCCCGTGTTCGTTTTTGGGCCTTTCCAAGTGTCAGTGACTAACAGAACAGAGCCTTCGTTTTGTCCTTCAATAGCAACCGCACATGCCATTCCTTTCGTCTGGCGATTATTCCCTCTGATGGCGTAGATGGCCTTTTTAAATTCATTGCTGGGAATTTCCTGCCCCTCGCCAATCCTAGCCATCTGGCTTGGAAGGAATTAAAAAGCGACGTTATGCAGGATCGGACGCTAGGTTTTCAGTCAGTTCCGTATCAGTTCCTGCCGCATGCGCCAACCTTCCCCGACACGACTGACTGCCCACCTGAGGCGCTGGCGCTGTATAAATGTAACTGACTGGCCTGTGGGCGACGGTTTACTCTCACTATACTCCCAGGTCTGATCGCATTCTCACAACCTTCACCCACTTCATATCCACATTCCTTCCATTCGGGAAATGAGCCCGCGCTCGCCCGCGCCCCCCATAAAGTTTTACTACTCTTCCCAGGCTCTCTCGATTAACCCGAAAGGTCACGAACTCTCACGAACAGCGTGACGTAGAAACCAGGAACTAAAATGGGTTTGTTCCTTGTGGAGTTTGCTTTTCTGGTACTGTTGACGGGATCACAGGAGATGTCTGCAACGTGCATGGAACGGGAAGAGCATATACAGCGCTATTTAATTTCATCCCAGCCGCCGTATGATAACTACTATAATATTTCTAAGGCTGTTTATCCATCTGTGGATTTGCCGTCTTTGCTGATCAAGATCACCGTTACGTTCCTACATGGCAGCGACAATCTCACTCATTTAGCCGGATCGTCCCGATCTCCGATCAGTGGTAGTACTTCCAATATCTCACAGACAGGGGAAAATGTGCGCGAAACTATAGAAACGAAGATCACGACATACAAGTTCACGTGGAGTGCATCCTGTTTGTATGTTAGTGGAGGAAGCATAAGCTTGGCTTCCATGAATGCGTTTTCTTTGTGGGCTATTTATCCAAACAGACGAGAAGGACAGCTGCACCTAACATTGCCACAGTTCTGCAGGGGATTTTCTGCTGACAGCATGATCTACTTCCTTTCTACGGTAGGACTTTTAGCCATTTCATTATTATTGTTAACTTATCATCATCATCATCATCATCATTCTGATCCTCATCCTCATCATCATCATCATCATCATCAAGGGCGGGAGGAACATACTGAGGTGCAATCAAGAAAGTAGTGATTCCCCCTTTTGTTTTAACTGATTTTCTTCTGCATTTCCCTGGAGTATTCTCCTGGAGATGGTGATAAGATATCTTTCTCCTCACCTGACCCCTGTCTAGCTAACTTGCCTTCTCAAAAATAGCTGATACAGTTATAGCTTACACTTCCAAATTTTTCAGTTCATAATTAACAATTATTGGACGAGGTTGAGCAAAATATCATGATTTGTCAATCATGAGCAGATGAATAGACCATTTTACTGTTATGAGCTAAGTACCCTAGCCTCTGAGAAAATGTGAGGCTGAGGTTGACCTTTGTTTTGATACAAATCTCTTTTCTTTTGTTATGAAAATTATGCTAAGAATACTAGTTAGCAAAAGAACAAATTAGCTTACATAATAAAGGAGGAAGGGTTATGGTCAACTCCAGCCTCATTTCCACCTGTATTGCAACTGTAAAATGGACTGTTGTTTGCCGAAAACCAAAGGCTGGGGCAAATAATTGATCTGCGAGACACTGACAAATCATTATATTTTTCGATAACTAAGTTCAATATTGTTTTATCATTCAGTGACCAAGTTTGTTTTTTGATAAATATCTTCGGGAAGCTGCCATTTTCACAAAAGAGCGACCGCAAAAAAGAGAAAAGGGTCAGGTTTCTTTCATGCATGAGCAGAATATTATTTGCAGCCAAACACAGTAGGATGACATAATTGCACATGAGCAGACCTTTATTTGTAGGCAGTTATTCGTACGTCACGTTGTGGGCTCTCGGCCAATGAAAAGGGAGAAAATTTGCTTTGAATGATAATGTAATTAATATTATGCATTTTCAAATCATAAATTTGTCTCAGTAAATGCCTTTAAAAAACAAAATGATTACTAAAATATTAGTGGCACTGGTGTTCTTTGTCTGGGAACATAGAATATTGAGCCTCTCTATGTGTACCAATGGATGTCGTTTTCATTGCACGGCCAATCAGAAGCAGCTTTTCCCAGATCTGGGTTATGACATGTCATCAGTAAGAAATTTCTGTTGTTGTTCCTCAGACGTCATTTCACAAGGAAACCAGTGGTGGGGTCCTGACAATAGAGAGAAAAACGAGTTTAGCCTTGTGCTAAGAGCGTCTGTTGGAAAGAGTCATACAAGGGAGAGATGGTCTCTCTCTCACACACACACACACTCCAGGGGATGATTGAGAGAGAACCAGAGAATTCTAGAAATTAAGAGAATTCTGTGCTGACTTATTCCCTGCTCACAGATGTCCTTCCGCTATAAAGTTTAAAATAAGACTAGAATGCGCGAGCGTGAATTGATCAAACGTTCTTTTAATTTCTGAGGCTTACTTTCCGGCAAATAAAATGAACTAAATGTAAAAAGTGAAATAGAAATAGCGAAAAATTAAACTTCTAATTAAATCTTTTCTTATGGTTTAGAATAAACTATTCTCGAAAATGAGAATGTTTTGATCAAAGCTGTGTAAATCGAACCGAAACTGTGCATGGAACCTTTCGCTTATTTCCTGTATTTATCTCACCTATTGTATGGAATATGTGTGAACATCTTCATTATGAATCGGTGTATTTCAAAGAGCTACACAAGGAGCAAGAATACTATACACAGAGCGGGGGAAGCTGTAGTGTCAACTGTTACTAGTAATACATCTGAATGGCAGATAATTTCCTTTCTTTCAACGAACCGCGATCAAAAGTGCACGGATAGTTGATATGTTATTATAACTGAAAATGTATTTTTTCATGTTATGAATGGTACTCGATCTGTATTTGTTTTTTTTTAACTCATAGTGGTCCACATAGGCACACGGGAAATTTTTTGCCAGGGGGGGGTAAACCATTTGCCCAAAAAAATCTAATTTTTACGAAAGAGTCGAAAAGAAATGAGGGCCATATTGCAACAACATAGGCCGTCCTGGCAAATGAAAGGGGCTCGATACAGTTTTTCAGGGTCAATACCAAGTCTGGGCATAAACTGCGTCGCCATAAGCAAACATTTGGAAAAATTGCGACCGCAGTGGTATTAGATGAAAATTTGGCATTGTCAGGTTTGCAATGACATCGGAGTTGTCATAGCAACGAAATGACTCCATTACCTATTCTACTTCAGCAATGATTCTCGGCACGGGAACCTTACAAAATCGCTCACAGGAGCTTTTTTCTCCAATACGGTCGCCTCGATGTTCGTGAAGTTTAAGCAAAACCATAGGAGCGTTATCGAGATATTTTGCAATGAAGTTTTTATTATTAGAAATACGGCAAAGAAAAATCTTGATGTTTGGCCGTTATCTGTAGAAAACGAAGCGCTTTTGTCCTGCAATTTCACCTCATAGTAGTTTTAATCTTTTTAAAAACATGTGTGAAAGATCGTGGAGATAGCTCTGCTTGATTGCTAGAATCGAAAGAAGGATTTGATTAGTATGTATCGAGACACTCTTGGTAGCGGTTTTGTAAACATTTCGGTCTCTTTTAACAAATCAGCGAATAATTTTAAACCGCTCGATAGATTTTTTCAAAGAATTAAGATTCTTCTCGTAATTCAAACTGAGAATTAGTCAGCCACTTCTTCATTTTCATACCCATTGAAGCGTTTTCAGTCGAACTCGCGCGGAAACGCTTGCTATGCAGGCAATACCCATGCTAAATGCTATCTGCCATACACTGTTCTTCGAGTGGAGATGATTCTAGAAAGTTATCCGAAAGTTTATTTTAATCAATTCTCGACTGGAAATAGCCCGTTCCAGCTAGTGCAGTTCAGTATAGTGCCCAACAAAAAAACAACTGCAAATATGTAAATTACTCATCACATGCTAAGCAACCACTGTAATGTAACTGGATTATTTCGCCTACTTCAGGCTAATATTCAGGTCTTTAAAATAATTAAATGAACATGGAGACGTCTTTAAAAACTGGCTTTGCCCAAATTTCCTCTCGCTGCCCTAAAAGTCTGAGTTGCCCAAACTTTGGGGGGGCTGCAGCCCCCCCCCCCCCGGCCCGTACGCCTATGGTGGTCCAGTTCATACCAATCCTTCTTTTACAAAACTCAGTCAGTCTTAAACAGTAACAGGAACAGAATGTTTTTCTTTTTCAACAAATGCAACATAGTTTTTTTATATGTACAGTATACAAATGTACAGTGAAGATGTAACGATTAGTCAATAGGCTGATAGTAAGGAGCGGATTTGAATGTGTTCCAGTAAGGGCCAGAGTCATCTGAACTGCTACTGTCGTATGCTTCCATTGCAGTGCCCGAGTGAATATCAAAGGCACTTCCTGATTCCTCCTCCTGACACTGTTCAGTGGCATCATCATCATCGGCCCCGCCATCACTACTTTTTTACCAACTAAGTTTTTTCTTTTTGTTAGTTCAATAACCACACAACAGTTCAATAACCACACCAGTAGTTTGAAACGTGAGGAAAGAGAGTTAAAACAAGGTTTCATCCACCGCTAACCGTTATGTTTTCTGCTTTATCAACGCGCACTCTGTCGATTTATCTAGTACCAGATCCGAATTTTTCTCCGGACCGAGTTAGCTTTCCCTTTTCAGCGCTTACTCTCTTTCCAGGTCTGTTCACTGTGCCCCTGATGAAAATGACAGATCTTCTGAGCAGACTAGAACTTCTTAATTAACATCAATCTATGTTCCTGCAGGTTCCTGTCTATATTAGTGGGCTCACTAAAACTTTATAACAATGTGCCATAGCTATTTGTAAATTTAGTTCTTGTATCGTTGCTAAATGAGTATCACTTACTTAATGCTACACATTCTAATTAAAAAATATCTAACGTAGTTGTGGCTATTTTTTCCGCAGCTACATGTAGTTTACCCTCAATGAAATAATGTGTGGTCATTGAACTACTGGTGTGGTTATTGAACTGTTGTGTGGTTATTGTACTAACAAAAAGAAAAAAATTGGGTTTTGTAAATGTTGTGAATACTAACACTTTTTTTTATTCCAATGAAAAAATTGTCTCAAAGTTACGCTCATATGGATTCTCACGATGCAACATTTGAATACTCAAAATGTTATTACAGGGGAGGGTTACAATTTTTTGGGCACACATTTTTGGAGGGGGCAGGAGTTTTGGACTGTTAACCTGAGAGGGGCTAAAATTTTTGGGCCCTCGCTTTTGAAATAATACCGGCCCTCCCCCCCAATAGTTAATGACCGCTCCCTAAAGATTTTAAAAATTCCAAGAATCATGACTGTCTTTTGTAGATTCGTGGCGCTTACATCTGATTCTCTGTGACCATTTGTCTTGCGAATGCCATTCTAAAACAATTGCTAAAAGAATAAATTTACTACTTCGACCAATCAGCGCTCGTTGACCAGATTGCTGACAAAGTTACGTTATCAGTATAGAATTTTGGGGGGCGAATCGCAAACGTCTCTCCCGCGAAACGTCCTTAGCGGCCAGGAGAGACGGCTGACAGTGTATTCGCAACAGGCTATGAATTGATTTGATCCCCATAGAGGTTCTATCGACAGAGAGAACATTCATAATTGTTTTCTCGACACTGGAGAAACTTACATATACTCTAGCTAAGTACAAAATAACTGAAAAATTAAGATAAAAGTCGGTTTTAAGCGAATTGTCCAGTTTCTCGTTCCTCTTATGACTTGGAGAATATCGAGAAATGGTCAGCTGAAAACCAAATGTTCATCAATACCGAGAAGACGAAGGCGTTATTTGGAAAAAGGATACAACATAAGCTTACTGAGGAAACAGCAAGCTTACAACTACGCCATGACGCTACAAATATCGACCAATTATCGCATCACAAGTTACTGGGTTTAATCATTGATAAGCACGCATAGATGAATAATGTAAGAAACTGTCAAAACGACATGGACCTTTTTAGGCATATTAGTCCTTATCTCAAGCAAAGGCACAAGTTAATTTTCTTTATATTCTAATTCGCTACCCCGCTCAAACGAATATAAAACATTTATCATGTAACAAGCAACCTCAATTGGGTTGTGTCAAATCGAGCCGTGCGCGACCCTCTTTATTATGCCTTGATCAACAAAATAGATGGAAATAATACAACAAACAGAATGAAAACTCGACAATGTAAAAAATTACAGCAAGAAAAACAACCCTACAAAATGATCTAAACTATGCTCGTATAACAATGATTCAGTAAACATACAAAACGTACTAAACCTTTCATATAGCAGCATGCAAAAAACTACGTCTAAGAGAAACCCCTGGTCACTGGGTATTTAATTTTCAGGGCGTAGGGACGGTCATAAGACGCGAATGAATATAAATGAGAACAACTCAAATATATATAGCCTACCGCTAATGAAGCAATAGAACAGCATACCATGTAACACTCCAAAGAAAAGGTTACATAACCCATGATAAATACATTTATATTCTAATTCTCTACCCCGCTCAAACGAATATAAAACATTTATCAAGTAACAGGCAACCTCAACTGGGGTGTGTCAACACGAGCCGTGTGCGAACTAAAAGAACAGGAAATACGGAAAATTAAATACCCAGTGATAAAGAAACCGACAACAATGAATGAACATTATCCTTAATGTAGCCGTCTTTTGCCTTGTCTGATTTCCAACGGCCGTGTCTTTTAAACAATCTGTCAGGCACTCGAGCATTAGCAGCAGCGCAGGCACCTCCGGCCCTAAGGCTATGGAGACCGTAGTCTTGCCTGGGAAGGCCGATGGAATCGAAAGCGCTAAGCACTATCTCCCGCGCTCTAGTATAAGACAAAGGAACAGACCCGCGCATTTTATAAGCTCCGGTATCGCGAAGGAAAACAAGAGTGCGAAAAATGAACTCTTCGCCGTCCGCTGAAAAAGAAGCGGCCACAAAATATCGTTGAACTAATAAATAAGGACATGTATGCTTGAAAGGTTTAGCGATAACAACCCAAGCCCCATCACTGTAAACGTCAGTCTTACTTCGATGAACGCTGCATAACCTAAAACGCACAAAGTAAGCAGTCGTAAATCAGACAAACTAGCTGAAGACGATCCATACTTAGCAAATAAAAGCTGAATAACCTCAGGGGTCACAGGCTCTTTCTTTTTAACAGGGATACTAAGAAGCCTCTTAGCAGATTCTATTAAAGGTAAGACTAACGAGGAATTACAGGGGTCGGGTAGAGCTGCCAAATCATGCACCCACTTGAGCCCATAATGCACTTCGTCAATAGTACTGCAAGAAGCAGATTCTTGAATCAAGCTAAGAAAAAACAATGAAACGTGTACAATAGAAGCGGGAAATATTACAATTTCTTTAAACTAAGAAGCCCATTTTCTCCAAGTATCGAAGCCCTTTTCGTACTTCCTTGCGGTACTGTCGGCTTTGGATTTAAGAAGAACTGCGGGGAGATCTTGAACCGGTGCCCGGAGTCGCCTGTCTTCAACCTGTTGAAAATTAGGCTGCAAGGCATCTTTGAGAACTTCTACGAGGATAAGAACAAAAATACATGCCAAAATTCTTCCATACACGCACCGGGAATCAATACAGCAATAAAAAATGGACGCTTGATAATGCCGCTGACGGGATGCAAAACTATTTAAGGCCATATGGGCCAACTTAAAAACAAAGGTAAACAAGCCACTCGGCGAGCTAGTTTCATGCGAAACAAGAACAAAAGAACTGAGGAGCGGAACAAAAAACACGTGGGCCAACATAAAGCCACTCGGCGTGAAGGAACTAGGGCCCCTTAGCGCCAATTCTGACTGCCAGGACCGTGCTCTTATAAACCTGTCTGAACCATTGAGTGAATATTTGTAACTTCCGAGGGCAAAAATCCCTGAGGAGTCGGGAAAATGAATGTACGCAGGGACGTACGGTTGGAATTGAATTGCATTTGCGAACAAGAAAGGTCAAAAAACATTAGACGGCCAATAAGGGACGACTAAAGTACCAACCGCACCGCATACAAGGAGATGCTGAACCGCCCTAGTAATGCAGTGGACGGGAGGGACTAGCCAATTATTCGTTGGTACATAGAAAAGCAAGGGTATATGACTTACCCCAATCAACCGAGTCAAAGTCACAAAAGTTGCAGTCTTTCAGCCATTTTTCCTGACTTTTACAAGGGATAGAGGCGGTTTGAGTTAGAAATGATTTGTAAGCTAATTTACAGAAAGCCTCGGAGAATAATAGGCTTTTGGTGTCGGTTTTAGCACCTTCCGTTTGTGGACAATGGTTTTTACGTTTTATATTCGAGATGGCACATATCACGCCGTGGTACTGTAGAAAGTGAGCTTTTATCGCAGACTTTTCCTTGAAAGTATAAAAAGTTAAAAATTGTGAATCCTCTTCGAAAAGGTCATTTACGAGGTAAATACCTGCCGAGGACCAGTTACGATAATGGATAGGCTTGTTGTCAAAACGTATGAGAGAGTTGTACTAAATTGGTGTTTCGCCGAAGTTGGAAAGTTGTTTTTTAAAATTCAGAAGTCAGAGAGGAAATGATTATGAAGCCCGATATTAAAACGAGAATCCCAACTACGGCGGGATTTTATGACCTTGTAAAGAAAACTGGTTTTGAGACGAGTCATCAGGTTGCCCAAAACTGGCGACATGGACATAACATGACCTGCGATGACGGCACAATCCCGAGCCGTAACATAAGGTGCAGATAGAAGAAATTTGTCAATCAGAGCGATAAATTTGGAAATACGTCTATCGGTAATAGAAATGGTACAAGTCCCAGTTTAGACCCAACCAAACAAGCGGCTGAGTGGGGTTCCATAGTGATTTGGCGGGGTTGGCAACAAACCCAGCACTGCTTAAGGATGATTGCACAAACAATGAATTTTCCTTGGCCATAGGCAGTGAATCCCCTTTCCCGCACCCATCGTTGAGGAACACAACAATTTTAATCCCGTTAAACCTCCAAAACTTAACGAGTGGTTTAAGACACTTGGTGAAGACGTGTGGGGCTGAGCTAAGACCGAACGGAAGTGATGCAAAACAAAAATACCGAACGGTACCAGAAAAAACCCAGGAGAAACCCAGGAAAGTTTGGTGATCCGGAAAAATATCGATATGGTGATATCCAGACTTGAGATCGAAACTGAAAAGGTAATCGCTCTTATTCACATATGATAATAAAACTCTCCAATCTTCACACCTAAACTTCTGTTTCCAAATGAAATGATTGACATGACGTAAGTCCAGAATAAGCCTCTTCTTGTCTGAAGACTGTATCGAGACAGAGAGCGGATTAACGACATGTGGAATAAAGGGCACCTCAACGACGGCGTGAGTGTGGATTAATTCACGATAGCCGACTCCACGAAAGACGCATTATTAAGAGCTGACTGAATGTTAGAAAAACGCGCCTGACAAGGTGTGCTAATGAATGGGATCCGATAACCGAATTTAATAGTATCGATAACAAAACTACTGGCACCAATAGTGTGCTAATAACTTAAACGGGACCTAAGTCTACTCTTAAGTACTGGCAATGCAGAATCCTGTTTAAATTCAAATAGATTGCGATCATAATCGAAATCGACTAATGAACTAGAATCCCTTTCCCTGAAATAGTCCAAACAGGAAGGATACATGTCTAATAAATTGAGTAAAGCTAATATCTAACCTTGGAGAACAAGTTTTCAATTCTGTGGTCCTATTTACCTCCAATGCCCGAGAGACCAGAAGAACTAGGAAAGGATGGCCCGGAGTTTGAAGATCTGGCTTGAGGATTAACTTGACACTGAGACCTCCAATGACCTTGCTCAGGGCCGCAGGCGAAACAAATATCACTGGGTCTTGGTTTCCTGAAAGCGCCAAAAGTACGAGAAATAGGTCTGGAGGGTGATGAATGTTGGCCAGCAAACGCGGTGGTTGCGGTAGATGATTGTAAATAACCTTGCTCGGATGGCTTCGCTTTCTGTTGGCGTTGGCTGCGTTTACGAAGGGCCCTCTGCTTGCCACGGCGGATACGCTTTTCGTCCTCTGACCCGATAGCCAGCTCGTCAGATAAATACTCGTTCACCAAATCCCAACCGGCGGCGGACTTGTCTGCCAGTCTGATAAGTTTGTTGCGCTTCTTGATGTCAGAGTCTAGTTCTTCCAGGTGAGTTTTAACAAGGTCTAATTTCTCTTCCCGAGAGCAACTGACGCCGACTTGAAACTGTTCTTATTACCTTCGAATCTAAACGTGATCTTGGATTCTTCTTTGAGCTTTTTGGCTACAGAATCGGTATTACTGCTCGACTCGTCTTGAATATCGCGCTTCAAGGCGCCCAACCTCTTGTCGAAATAATCCTTAAATAGAGAGAACGCGGACGCTTTATCACTGGATTCTGAAGACTGGATTGGGACTGAAGCTTCGAGAGATTGAGACAAGATGTAAGGTTGTTTAGGATGCGAAGGCAACAAAACGTCGTTGCTAGGAAAATCTGTGTTCGCTGAAGTAACGTGTTAAACATCGGACTTAATTTTGAGGGCGTAGGAGGAAGGGTCGTAAGATGCGAATGAATATAAATGGGAACAACTCAAATATATATAGCTCTTCTCAAATCACTCACTCTGCACAATTCTTGATGTTAGTAGTCTACTATGTTGGAAATTAACCCCGTTGGTGCGTTCCCTTTGCGTTCCGTGTGCGTTCCCTTAATTAATATGTGTAAGGGTCGAGTCAATGACGTCACCCATTGTTATAACCTAGGGAAAAAGTGGATTCCCTTTATTAATATGTATAAGTGTCTTCCTGCATACTAATTTGGATTCTACTATGTTGAAATTTAACCGTTTTGGTGTCTAGCAAGGTCTAGCTGGGTCTAGTCAATGACGTCACCGATTGTTATAACCTGGGGAAAAAGTGGATTCCCTTTATTAATATGTATAAGTGTCTTCCCGCATACTAATTTTTTGACTTCCTGCATACTAATTCGGTATAGGTTTACTAATGAGCGAATACTACAATAGGCACAATAGGCATGCCTCGGCTTGCCCGATAAGTAACTTGAGCCCAGTTTTTGGACCGTCTATTAAAAGAGAAATAAGAATAAGAGAAGCGATCACCTAGTAACACGAGAAACGGCTTCCTATATCTTATTTAGCGCTAAAACTCAGATATATAAACAAAACACATGTGCACAAAGTGGAGTTGAAAAGTCTTTATTTCCGTTTAGTTTATGTCTTCTTATTGAGCTCTAAAACTCGAATATATATAAACAAAATACACAAAGTAGAACTGAAAACTCTATTTCAATTTTGTCTGACGTTTTCTCCGTTCTATCTCGAGGAAATGAAAAACTATTAAAGTCTTGTCATTTTCACGCACGGTTAATCAGTTAATTATGCGAGTTCACAAGTTGAATACAAATTAGCTCTACAGGAAAGACCCAAGGGAGAGAATCTTGACGTATTATTATAAAACAAATAACTTAACAAGGATCAATTAAAACACGCGACTCATATTTGCTAGCAATAAAAACACAAGAGAGATACCGTTTTAAAAAACTTTATTAAAAACCAATGACAAAAAGAGTCAAATACACAGGAATGGAAATTAATTAATCTTCATCTTCGCCCATGGAGTACTTGTAAGGTTTGAATTTCTTATGCCGACGTTTCTTCAGCTGTTTGCCATGAGATTTATGATCATCCAAATAATTTACAAATTGAATCCGACGCCTTTTGCGCTTCGGGTCTTGTGGTGATGGGGTTTCTACTGTAGGAGGAGGGGTCAGGAAAGCAGGATTTAAGGGTGGTGGAGGGGTGAGGCTTTCTTTGTCAGGTTTTTGAGAGATAGCCGCTTGTGTTAATTCAGGTGTTACATTAAAGGGGTTGAGGGGATTCGAGAATGCTGTCGTTGCTGTCGAAGAATCTTGTGTCCTTGATGTTAAGTCTGGAACAGTGCTGATTATTTCTTCCGGTCGTGTTCTTGTACTTAATTGTTCTTTAAAAGCCAGGTATCTGTTTTGCAAGTGAAGGTATCGTTTAGCTTTTTCTTCGTCCCGAAGATCGTTTCGAGAAAGCACGTCATCCATGTTGTCTTGTATTTCTTGCATAGCTGGAAGAAGTGGGACAGGTGAAAGATTTTGCTGCTTCAGATATTTTAGAAGCTCTTGAGGAATATTTTCTTGAAACCCTGCTTGGTTAAAGCCTTCTTCACTGGGCAGGACGTTTGTTCGCAGTCGACAATTATCTTGGGTAGTAGTTTTCAGATCAATCAACAGATAACCAAAAGGTCTTTTTACAGCCTCTTCGTACTGATTTAAAAAGAAATCCGTCTGCCCGGGATACATTTGCTTCGCCAGAGTCAGGATTTGCAATTTGTCTCGTGGATTCTTGAATAACACCAGATAATGGCTGTTTAGGCTTATGCTGCGACTACCGTTCCCCTGATGAAATAGATTCTGCACGATATAAATCACGCTCAGATTGCGATGATGAGAACCACGAGTAAAAAGGTTCACAATCCGCTTGTCTTTAC